CCCCCCCCCCTCAAGCAGCAAAAATGGATGTCATGCTCGCCCAGGCCGCCTTGCCGAGCTCGACAGCGTCGCTATAGATGGCCCAGCAGCTCATGGAGAAGTCCTGGTTGGCCGCCCTGACCTCCCAGAGGCCATCGCCCAGCCGTGTCCACCACTCCCACTCGTCAGTGTGGGGTTGTAGTTCCAGCCCTCCTTGGCCGGACCGCCGTAGCTGACCACCTTGGCATGCCCCCACTTGTACGGCACCTGGTCGGCGGGGATGCTGCTGCCGTACATCAAGGGCGGGGAGGGAAGGGGAAGGGGTCTCGGGGGTGAGGGTGTTGGCCAGGTCCAACAGCAGCGTGCCGGCGACCGAGTCGGACTGCTGCAGGGCCTGTTTTGGCTCCGAAGGGCGGCCTTGGAGAGCATGACGTTGTTGTGGAAATGGTCGACACAGAGTGCGCGGCGCATGGCGAGTTTGTGGACTTTGGCGGTGCACAGGGCCTTGGTGAGCATGCTGACGCGCCTGAGCACCTTCTTCGTACCTGCGGGCCGATGTTGCCCTTCTCCCTCTCCGCATCGTCGAACTGCATCACCGTGTCCGTCAGATCGCTCAACTCGTCAAACTCGACAAACTCGTCCTCTTCACCAGCACCAGCTACATATCAATCAGAAAGACGAGGAGAAATGAGGACCTCGTTCATGTGCGCACCTGTTTGGGGTGTGGAAGCAAGCTCACTCTTCTCGAGAGAGAAATCGGCATGGCTATGGACAGGGCCGGGATGGCATCCCCTCTCGTGTTGGTGTAGGTGGCGGGCTTCTGCGGGTCCACCTCGGCGGCGTAGAGCTTGGCGAATGGAGGCTGGCAGCCGAATTGGCGCATGCGACCAGCCTCCATGCTCAGCACCTTCGCCACCATGGCTGCGCCGATGACCTCCTCGGCCCTTCCCTCCCCGTCACCACCCTCACCCTGGCCGGCACCTCCCTCCCCTGGAACGCTCTCAGAGGCTGCTGCTGTTCTTTCTCAGGCCGCACTGGTGGCCGTCTGCTCCCTCGGCCCCCCCTGCCCCTCCCCTCTGACTCAGACATCTCCTCTGACGAACTGCCGCTGCTGCTGCTACTGCTGCTTCCCACCTCCGACCCGTTGTCCCCCTCCTCCTCCACCACCTCGCCGCATCCGGCGCTGTCCTCCTTGGACTCGTCGTCGTCGGCGTCCATCTTGAAGGCTACTGCATCACCACCACTGCCGTCCTCGCGCGGCAGAATGCCCTTGAGGACGAGTGCCGTCCCGCCTGTCCCCAGCTCCGCCTTGGCCTTATCATCAAATACAATCGTGCGGGCGCTGGGCCCTTGGCCGGTGACCAGCTTGGCTGACATCGCCCAATGCTCTTTCCTCTTCAACGTTCGCCAACGGTTTTTACAAATCTCTCGCCTCAAAGCTGCTGCGGAGCGCTGCCGAACGAAGTTAGCTGGAGACGAATGAGGCAGGATGTATTTTTTTCGTCGTAAATTCCAAAAGAAATTTGTCTCCGTCTCATTTCTTGCGGGATTCTCGCCGCGAGGGAGGTGGCACAGACACACTTCATTGCCTGTGTCCCTTGTGTATACCGCGATCAGGTGGTGTGGTGAGTCGGCGAATGCAGCGGGCATCCCGATCAGCTGCCTGCCAGTGGGTGCAGGGTGGTTGATGTATCGATGTGTACATACTCATATTCAACGTTGCCAGTTCTCTCCTCCCTTTCTCCCTTCCTCGCTTTCTCCCTATGGCGTCGCGGCTGTCGGGTGGTATCGGCGGGAGGGATCCGTATGTGCATTTGCAAGCTGTGTTGTGTTTGTCGTGAGGGAAAGACAATATGCATGAGACCAAAACGACTGGCTGATTCTCTCTATCTCTCTCCAGCACTTGTGGACACTTTCTGCCATTGATGTCTCCCAAATTGAGAGGATAACACTGCAGAGCTAATAAATACATATACTCACAACACTCACTTTATGCAATGCACAGCACTCCAGCATAAAGTCTCTGATCGCCTTTACACGAACACCGCCGCCTTGCGTATCTGCCCTCATCTGCCCTCGCTATACACATGCAGTTGACCATCAAGACCACCACCACGAACACATAAGTAGATGCTCATCCGCTAGGCAATCAATCCATCAGTCAGTCAGTCTCCGATGGGGTAGGTCTTGCCGAACCAGTCGATGTATGAGCCCTTGTAATGCCGCACTTTGAAGCCCTCTCGCTGGGCAAGCTTGGCCGCACTTTCCGCGCGAATACCTGATCATCCAACACACAACGGACAAGCAACAAACCTGTCGGATTCGTGTGTGTGTATCTTCGGCACATCCATCCGTCCGTGTGCATACCAGCCCTGCAGTAGAAAACAAGCGTGTCGCTGCTCTTGGGCTTCGGGAAGTCAAACCTGAGCCCCTCACGTACACGTGCCTAGATACACGCCCTCGCAAATTCATCGGTCAGCCTTACCTGTCCTCCCACGCTTCGTCATCGAAGTGGAAGGCGGTGGGGATGTCAGCCAGGGGAATGTTGACGGCATTGTCTATCTTGCCATGGTCGCGGATCTCCCAGGGGTCCCTCACATCGACGATCACAAAGCTCTCGTCGGCAGCTGGCTTGCAGCCCTTAGCTATGACGTCCTTGAGCTCCTCTTTAGATATCACCGGCACCTCGCTCTCTGCTCCTGACAAATCCACCCACGAATCCGATGAATGTGTTCCTTTGTCGTCTGTATGCTGCACTCACCGTCCTTTGCAGAGAACCATCTTCGTGCAGCTGATGGCCTGACGAAGAACGTGTGTGGCCGAGGAGCCTCCGGAAGGAACGCGGAAGGGTGGCAACCCAGTGATCTTCTGCCATGTAGCCTCGGGACATCGCCGACAGCTGGACCCAATGCACACCTGTGCGAATACCGCGCACAGCGGGCAGCGGTGACGCCAGCGCACCTTATCGCCATATCTGCCTTCTCAGCTAGCTCAATTATATATATTGGCTGAGCTCGCAGCTCGATCCTCGAGCCGCCTGCCTTTCGTTCGCGGCGGCAGGTTCTGAAGTGCTAGGGGACTCGCGTGAACGGTAGCTGATACGTTTCTCTCAGGCCCTCAGCCGTTGTCCCGAGAAACACCGATCCCCCATCAATGTGGCTTCCCCCGCCCCTCCTCACACCCTTCCCCTCTCCTGTGCAAGACGGGACAGACACCTCGCGGGTATCTCTGCACCCATTGCCGCCCCGCTGCAGTCCACACGAAGGCGACAGCCCTCAAGTCTCCCGCGCGTGGAGCTTGTCCGACTCGGCTATCGACTCCTCGTCTCCCGTCTATGGCAGTGGATCTTCACTCACTCTCGAGTCTCTCGACTCCGTTTCTGCAGCCGTCATCGGTCAGCCGAGGGGAGACCATCAGCCACTTCCCTCCCAGCCGGTCGACAACCCTTCTGTTGTCTGGCCCTCAAACTCTTCTTCTGCGAGGGACTGGCAAGGCACGTTCGATGATAACACAGTGCTCTCTCTGCGCCCCCCAAGCACGGGACACCAAAGAGCCCGTTCACGAGTCATCAGACAGGGTGGTGGACCGGCTCCCGGTGAGACTTACTTGCGCCAGGGTCGGGGTAGGAGGATGAAGGGCGGTTGTCTGGTGCAGCTGTATGAGGTAGCGGGGCTGGATGTGGCCCTGCTCTCGCAGCTCGACTGCCACAGTGTACTGCGACTGTCAGAGTGCAGTGGGAGTCTTCATCGGGTGGGAAGGCGAAAGGCCAAAGAGACATTTGTATTCATTTCCGTGCCCTTTCCATACAGATTATATATCGTCGGGAACGCACCCAAGGCACGGCTGGCTCCTCTTTTTCAGAGGTCCGCATATGGACAGATCCACACCGCAAGAGTGAGCAGAACAGATACGGGCGAGGGAGACCGCCTTCGTACGGCTGTCTGTCTCTGTGTGTCTTCTCAATTGACAGCCCGTGTCTTGCGTCACCTTGTGTTGAAAGTATCCAAGGCTGAGCAGTTCGCCTTTACGTTCCTATGGCGTGTCCTGACGTCATTTATCATCCCATACGCCGCAGTCTGCAGCGGATTCTACCCACGGGAGCAATTTGCCTTCAGAGCGCTTCTCGTGGCGGCTGTGGTGCTCGTCGCCTCGGCCAACGCGACTCTCTTTGCCAGATATGTGCTACATGAGCCGTGGAAATGGCGAAAGTGGATGGAAATCCCTTGCACTGAGAAAGGGACGATCACTGGGCACCAAGGAGATGAGGAGAGTGGTCTTGGGACAACAGTAGGGATGTCAACGCTGACTATGTGGCGGCTGACCCCGTACCCCATTCTGCGGTGGATCATCGCTCTGGCAAATGAGGCTTTCCTCGCCGTGGCAGCAACAGGTATTCAACACAAGAATTCTGCTCTTCAGTGCATAAATGTCCCTACTCTCTGTCTGTCAGCATGGCTCTGTCCGGTTCCATTTATGTTCTACGCCACTGTCTTATCGGCGCTGGCTGCCTTTGCAGCGACCGTCGCGTGTTTCGCGTCAATGGTGGCTTTCGACTATGGTGACAATATCATGCAGACGTTCACCGGCACTGACATTAGGAAGGTGTTTGACTTATGGAGACAGATCGGTGACCATAGATATTCGGATAGACACCGAGTCAGACACAATTGGTGAGACAGGCAAGTGTGTCGTGTGTGCGATGCATACGTTCAGGGCTCGATGCTGTACCGTCTTCGGAAGGTCCGGAATTTCGCATTGTGGTTTGTGATCGTGACTGTGCTGATGGCTCCGGTCGGCACCTATCTCTCCACCGTGCTGTTCATTTTTCGGCTGCCTGCCGTCTACGGCCGCATCGAGACCAACATCAAATACCTCCTGCCGTTCGGACTCATCAAGTGAGAGACTTAGAGACAGACAGGCGGTGCTGCCCTTCTCACATCCATCTATTTCTCCGTGTGTGTGTGTGCAGGTACTGGTTGTGGTCACGTGTATGGTTTGACACCATCCTTGTGTCACTGCCCATCACACCGCTAGAGGGCGATGACGCTTCTTGCCACTTCAAATTCACCGTGCTGGCGCTCTTCACCTACCCCATAAGTGTGGCCTTCCTGGTGGCCTTCTTCTACAGCAACAACCCGTCAGACAGCCTCAGAAGCTTCGTCGTCCCCACCGCCATGAGTAACCACAGCAAACACGTCCACCCACACCACTGCATGTCTCCTTCCCTGCATTGACGTTCTCCTCCCACCTTGCAGTCATTTTCTTGCTGTTCTTCCTTCGCATTGATATCCTTCGCTACTACCGTCTGAGCACTAATCCCCGCTGGACAGAGGACGGCTTACGAATCATCACTCGAAACAGCACACCCAGTTGTCCCCCGCCTAGGCCCTTCTCATGGCGGCAGCTGATGCACGAGCTTTCTGACGAGTGGCACAAGGCCATAGCTGGTGCGCGAGAGTGTCTTGCTGTCCGCCGCACAGCCGATACTGCGAATGAGAGAAGGGTGGCACGTATGTCATCTGTGTCTGTGATAGACCCCATAGACACTTTTCTCTTCATGAGTGGGGGGCTGGCGTGTGGTCTGTTTCCTTTCTCGGGGTGGATGCTGTCGGCCACCATTGTGTGCATAGTCAGCTAAGGAGACACTGTGCGTGTGGTCACGTGGCCAAGTCGCGATGATGGTATATGGATGTATTCATTTGTCCATGGAAGTGAAGTGACATATCTGTGTGAATCATGCATGTGTTGACGGGAGGGGAGGGAGGGGTGTGTCGTGATGTGTTGTGTGTGCATCGATGGAAGAAGACACCCCACGACAAGTCACCATGCTTTCCTGGCCACCACACCAGACAAGCTGCTCTTGCCCTCCTCGTAATCCTGACACAACACACAGACAGACACATGTTGGATAGCATTGCAAGATTACATCTCAGTTACCTGCTTGGTAATGAGGAAGTGCTCAAAGGTGGATAGGGAAGCGAACATGGACCCACCTGACACAATGGAAGCACAGGTGCTTGCACACACGCACGTCTGTCTCTGCGCATACCGATCCAGGCTGAGTATTTCCTCTGTGAGTCGAGAATGACCTCCATTTGTCTGTGCAGGTCTGGCGGCACCAGCATCTGCATCTCGTTGCGTATCCGCTCGGACAAACCTACAGGGGGAGACTCCAAATCCATGTAGGCCATGTAAGCCGTGTAGGTGTGTCGCCCACCAGGTATCATAGATGTCCCGCCCGCCAGCACGAGATTACGGACAAGGTCCAACCGGAAGTCCAAATCACTGACATACACAAGGGCAGCAGAGACACGATGGTCATGCCTTCCGTGAGAGTGTATGTGTGCCGGACCATGCATTGAGGCCCATCTGCGTGATCTTTGGGAGACTTCTGTCGCCCCCACTGACGGATATGTACATACACAGAGACACCAATCGTGCCATTGCAGCGACAAGCTCGTTTGACTTGTCTCACTCACGCGAAGAGTATCTCTGGTGCCCCGTATCTGAGCTGCTGGTCCACCTGCACGATGGTGCCGTCGGGCAGCTCAAACGACCGCTCCTCGTCACTCGCAGGGTCCTCAGACGCCAGCTGAATGCAAGCACACATTTGTACAGATACACCTGCGCCGCTCTGGTCTACCTGTTCTTTGAGTGAGTGGGGTGCGACATGGCAGAGCGACTCCTTCAGTGACCGCATCACCCACGGATGAGCATGCCTGCACACACACGGCCAAGGAGTGAGTGTGACGATATTCTCAACACACGTGAAGGTCCAGCCCTGCTCACTGCTGGTAGGCCGTCAGTGAGGGGAGCTCCTTGAAGATCTATTGCAAAGGCAACGAGACACATACCAATACTGAAGCCAAACCCCTCAACACGCACCTTTTGGACAGCGTCGGTGATGTCCTGGCCCCCATAGTCCATCCGAAACGTTGCGTGCGGAATGGCAAATCCCTGAATATTTTGCAAGAAGAGGACAGACGCTTTGTCCCATGGACACCCATGTTTATTGCAGCCAGCCTACCTCGAAGACAGGCACAGCGTGTGTGACACCATGGCCCATCTCAACAACCATCCCCCTGCATCGATAGACAGGATCAGCTGTACATCAATGGACTTGTATCGACCAGTCCACCTGCCTGCCCACCTGGTGCGTCCCGTTGAGAAGAGCGAAAGCACCGCCGAGTTCATCATGGCCAACGAGCGGACTTTAAATTTCTCAAACAGCATCTCAGCGAGGAAGTCCCGCTGGTGTTGTGGTGTGAGTGGGGAGTCGATAAGCAGTATGGGCAGCTCCTCGTAGTCCACCTTGAGCAAAGATCTCAGCGCGTGCTCCAACACATCCTCCAAACTGTCCTTGTCGTGTAGCAACTGCACACAGCAGACAGAGGCCAACCATCCACGCATTCCAATCGTATGCATGTGGTTCTCTTTTTCCGTCGCACGCACCCCTCTCTTGAGCGGCAGTTTCAGTGTGCCTTTGCTGGCGTTCTGGAGGGCCTCGTCGCCAAAATACGTGAGAGTCTTGGGCTGCGCTGGGCAGTACAAGCATCAGCCCCGAGGGGTAGTGACAAGTACATGCGCATAGGCGGGCGCTTGTCCTGTCTACCGGTTGTGTCTACGTTGCCTTCATCGTCTTCGGGTATTTCGGTAACGACAGACATCGCTGTCGACAAGACAGTCTGACAGACACACGCCTCTTGTGTGATGGATGGGACCAGGAGCCAGAAAGGTCCTTACTCTTGGCAGGTCTTCACCAGAGAAGCCCACCTTGAGTGAGCCACCTCCCGCGTCTGCACGACAAGACACATAAAACACTCCATCATCGATTGTGGACGCTTGTCCATCGTGTCACACACATGCTTGCCTACCGATAACGATGACGTCCAGCTCATCGACGGCACACTCCACCATGGCGTCAACAACACCAAGAGAAAGACGCAGCACCAGATGTGCTGAAAACTCTCTTTTTTGCAGTGCAAATCGTCTCACAGAGGACAGCCGCGTGCCTCGGGTTGAATGGCGCGTCTGCTATCTTAGCTCGCATTCACCTGAGCTCGCAAGGAATCCGAGCTCGACGCTTTCTTTCCCAGGGCCCGTTCCGTAACCTGGCATGTCGTCGAAGCAAGGTCCACCAACGAACGTGCCTGCATCCAAGCTGCACGAGGCTCCAGGCGTCATTCCTGCCAAGACGGCCACTGCCAGCGTTGTGAAGGGCAGGGTCATCTACAAGGACAGCAAGGGCAACTCCATCGCCACCAGCGGCAGCCCAAAGGCCATTGATGACGTCTACTACGCAGCCGGACGATGAGCGCACCTGTCTGCAGAAGGTGCGCATGAGAGCACGGGAGCGTTGGCCAGATCATTAATGGATTGGTCTGTTTGCTGCATGTGTGCAGGTATGCCTGAGAGCTCTTCTATGGTGACTCGTGTGGTGACTCGTGCAGCCACTCCAGTTTTTGGTGACTCGTAGGTGACTCGTATGTTGTCATCGATTGGTGGCTGCGTATTCGTGTCGGCCTGCACGGCCACATCTTGGTCGACAAATCGGCAAAGATGTGAAGGTGCAAGTCGGCGAAGTCACGCAGCCACCGAGAGAGACGGACGGAAGACACCCAGCTGTTGTTTTATGCAAGACATGCAGTCGTTAGCTGCATCTGTATCATTTCGTGTGAGGCTGGTGCCAAGCAGACATACATACATGAGTAGGACTTGACCTCGCACGCACACGCGTGGGCCGTCAATTCTGTGTCAATTCCCTGTCCTCTCGTCACCACACCCCGCCTGTCAAGACGTGCGTGTCCCGTATGCAAGAATCGCATCTCTTGTGTTGTGCAAGGGATGTGATTACTGCAGACTTTCGGCGCCCAGACTGCAGGACGAATGAGTGAGGGGGACATCCCAACCATCACAAAGCAAAAGACCGAAAGCAACAAGACAGCCCTTTGTATCGATTTGCCACGCTGTCTTCACAGCCCTTCCGCGCACGGTTCGCGGCCGCCTGGCCAGGACCAGGCAGAGGCAGGCCGTGCGCGGACGTGTTGTAAGACAGCTCGACAAATGAATCAGTCAGTATACATGCATGGACGACTAGAGAGGTACCCGCACCACCCACACACGACCAGCCCTCTCTCTCTCTTGTCCGCTCATCTCTGTCTTGGGCACAGCCCTCGGCCTGTTCATTTATTGTTCGTGCCAGTCATCGTCGTTGAGATTGACCAGCCGCCGACGAGACGCTACCACCGATGACGGCCGACGCCTACATGAAATGCACACGGAGAGAAAGCAAGCCTGACAAGGGTCAAGGCCTCGCCAAGGCGCTGTGCTTCTTTATTGTGACCCACCTTCGTTTGGCGCGTTCGATCATTTGCTTGAGGGTCTCCATCTCCAGGTACACCGCCTTCTTTTTCTTCTTTTTCTGATATATCTGTGAGCACAGACACACACACACACACACACACGGACACGATCGCAACCCGTTCCTCTGTGCGTCTCTCTGACTCTGTGCCCTACCGAGTATCCGTCTATCAGGATCTCAAAGAGCCCCTCGTCACTGCACAACGCACACTTTGTGAATGCATACGTCTGCACGATCCATCAAACGCCTCACCGTGTTGATTTTGCGCTGATGATCTCCTTGGTGACGTACGCCTCGGGGAACTCCTGCGACAGGATCTCACGCGTGGCACGGAAGTAGGGCTTCAGACCCATACCGCCCGTGTCTGAAACCAAGCACACACCACACAATACGTACGCACATGTGTATTCATGTCATGCAATGGGCCATTCCTTCCGCCATCCCTCCCCTCTCTTTATCGGCCAACTCACATCTGACGACGACTTCGATGAACGGCCCCGCGCCCTCCCCGTTGACCCCGCTCCCCTCCCCTATGTACACGTTGTTGGCCACACCCTCGCCACCCTCACCATCGCCCTTCCGCCGACGCTTGTGCGGCAGGCTCAGGAACTTCATCAGACCTTCACGCCCCCTCTCCTCACCACCCATCTCAGGCTGCTGCTCGTTGGCCGGGGGCGGTGCGTCGGACGCTGGAGCGAGGGGGTGCAGCATGCCGCCTGTGATGGATGCGGGCGATGGGGCGACGCCGGCCGTCATGCCTCCTGACAAACCTGCTGGCGACAGTGTTGTCGTGACAAGCATCTCTGCTGCTGGTGCCGCTGCTGATGTGTTGGCCGGCGTCGTGTGGGACTGCAATCGAAAGAGAGGCGTTGTGTCCTGGTCAGCAGAGAGGGCTCTCAGCGGCCTGTGTGGACTGTGGCCGACATCTGAAGGGTTGCTGTGCAGCGGGGGAGGGACGAATGAGGGGAGGGATGGAACAGATTGGGCCAGCGACGCCAGGCTGAACAGCAGCATCATTCTCTGGTCACTGCTCTACAGATCTTTGAGCTGATGTCACTAAGGCTTCATCGGCGGGCCATATGCAGCTCATTCTCGTCTTCAGAACGCGCAGATCTTTGCGTCAACATCTTCTAAGCTCGCACTTTGAAGCTAAGCTCGCAGGCAGGAAAGGAGGTCCTCTGGGGCTGTTCCTCGCTTGGAGCATTATGGAAGATCAGTCGTTTATGCAGTTGTTCTGGGATCTGGGCGATACGTCCATCGGCAGACGGCGGCGGGCGGTGCAGCTGATGGTTGACACACTCAAGGCCGAACAGCAGAGGGGCAGCGGCGAGAAGTTCTCATCAGATCTCGAATACTCCGTCAAGCGACTGGTGAGTGAGTGGACTGAGTGGGAGCGAATGCATGCTTCGAGGGACTTGATAAGTCGTGTGTGTGTTTTCTCCTTGTCTGGGTGTGCGCAGGTGCGTGGTCTGACGTCCTTCAGGGACTGTGTGCGGCAGGGGTATGCGTCGGCACTGACAACGGTGCTGTCCACTTTCAAGAAGGAGGTGCCGCGCAGCGACGTGCTGACCCAGATTGACCAAGCCACACAGATCACCAGCAAAGTCTCGTCCAATGAGCACAAAGGTGCGCGCGTTGAAGGGAAGGGGTGGTACAGATTCATCCAGGAAGGCTTTGTCGTGTCGCTGCGCATATGTGGGTCTTGTTTGTGTGTTGGCAGATCTGTTGTTGGGTCGCCTGTTCGGCTATCTCGCCCTGCAGCGGTGCGGCTTCTTCAACACAAAACACGTGAGCACAAACAGGACAATCGACAAAAGGCTATGGTACGCGGTGTTGACTGACTATGTGTGTTGGTGTGATTTGCTTCGTTGGTTCAGTGTCTGCCGTACATCGAGGGCGTGTATGAGGGTCTTTGGGGCGTGTATGACGGCAAGGTCTATCTGCAGGAGGCCGCCGCGCACGCCATCACACTCATCACACGCAGCGTCGCACAGTATGCAGAACATGCACACGGCCACTCAATCAACGTCAGTCATCGCGACCGTCATGCGTACATGTGTTTGTTGGCGTCAGGTTCGACCCCTCTGTATCGGTCAAGTTCATCACGTCTCGTCTGTCCAAGGTCTTCGACCCCCACACACTGCAGCTGTTCGCCGACTCACTCGACCAGCTGGACGGCGACCAACACATGATGCAAATCGACGACGCAGATGACGCCCAGAAGAGCAAGACACACAACAAGAAAAAGGACGCAAGCGGTGGGCAACCAAGACAAGACGAGGGACGGACACGCTTGGCCAGCCATGCATGCATCGTGGGTTCATTCCCTTGCAGGTGTGGGTCTCCGTCTCAACTCGCCCCCATGCGCCCTCCTGGACATCCTGCTGCGGCTGCGGAAGCGGCTGGAGAGCGAGATGGCGCCCAACGACAACGCTCCCGACGGCATCCCCCCGGCTGCATTCAAGCCGTGGACGTTCGTCCACAAGAACCCTCTGGCTGGTGGGAGGCTGAGGTCCGTGATGGTGTACCTCTGGGGCACACCTATGTACCATCCAAGGTAGGTGGGCGGAGCAGCAATAAGGTCAATGACTTACGCGGTGATGTGATAAAGTGGACGAGTTGTGTTCTTCCAGGTTGCATTCGCTGTGGGATTCGTTTCTGGACCTGGTGTTCGAGTCGCCATTCAAGTAACGAATGCGCAATATCCACCACACCCGCTGCCGGCAGCTTACTCACTCCTCTCTCCGTCTTTCTTCTTTCATTCAGTGACGCCGTGTCGGTGTTCGGAACGGTGTGGCCCGAGATCGACGGGCACTTTTTTGTCACCAAGGTGCGGTACCCACACGAGAGGAACTTCATCGGCTTCAGGGTGGCTCTGGAGATACTCATGCGGCTCAAACGCATCTCACTCAACAACAGTGACGACGAGGGCAACGCCACCATCGATGACGAAAAGCTGCAGCAACTCATCAAGGTGGGGGGATGGGAGGGCAGTGATTGATGTTGGCGCAGCCGTCAATCATCGGCTGTCTGTGTTTTACACGTGCATGTTGTGTTCAGATCTTTCTCGTTGGCGGCCCCCATTTCATCAGCTGCCTCGCAGACCGGCTGACAGGTGCCCCATCAAACCCCCTCTTCGCCGCTGCCCACTTCTTCCTCGATCGATTCTATGAGCTCGTCACGGGCGACTCTCTGCGCTCACTCACCAAGCCCACGGCCGCCACACAGAAGAAAGGGAAGCGGGGCGGCAGCAGCGGAGACAGCGGCAAGGCGGTAGAAGACACTGCTGCATATGATGCGACGCCCGAGAGACTGCAGGAGCACATAATGCGGGAGTGGCTGTGGGCCACGGAGGAGAGCACTCAGCGAAGGTCTGCGGCCATGTGGAGTGTGCCGATGCATATCGACGGCGATGTGCGGATGGAGGTGTGGTGGACACTGGCAGAGGCCACCAAACACCGACCCCTCAACCGCAAAGTCGCATCAAGGTGAGCACTGATGCCCATGGCAGCAGGATCGAAATGATGATTGCCCTCCCGTCTGTGTGTTTAGGCTCCATCGCATGTTTCTTGCGCCGTTGGATGAAGGGGACCGGCGGGCATTCGCAGAGAGGGCCTTCAAGCAACTCGCCGTCACTCACGTGGACGTAAGCATGATCCAACGAAGACAAAGGCGGTTTGAACAAATCAGTCGCGTGTTCTCCCTCCGTTCTGTGTCAGAACGAGGTTGCCCGTCAAGTGCGCTTCTTCGTCGACCGGCTGGTGCACCTGCCGCACACCACTACAGCCACAGCCGCTGATGCATCAAACCCTTCATCTGCAGCAGCCTCAGTCGATGCCTATCTGCTGCGCACCGTCTCGCTCTTTCTCTTTGCCCCCGCCCACCTGGTCACCGGCACGGCCGGCACCCCACTGACCCTCACATACGACGGCCTGCAAGGGGAGGAGGGTGACCTTGACGGACAGGAGACGCCATTGGTGCCCCTGCTGTCCATCGGGCACGACACGCCAACGCATGAGCCGCTGATCCACTTTCTCAACGGCAAGCTGGCGGGCGTCATCGGCGAGACCGGCCGCATCTTATGCAAACAAATCCACAAGAAGGGGGGCACTGACCAAGGCGAGCTTGCCAAGGCCGCCCTCGAGACTGTCAGGACTCTGGCGGCGCTGCTCAAGGCGGCAGCCAGGATGGCTGAGGGCGAGAACACCATCGCCTGTCGGCAGCAGAAGAAAAAGAAGGACACGGGAGAGATGCGTGACGTGGTGACGACCATGCGGATATGTGCCCGCGGTGTGCTGGACAGCGCGGTGATCGGCACGTGTGTGGAGGCGGCCGACACGGCGATCAAAGTGGCCAAACGGGCGGTCAAGCTGTCGAAGGAGGAGGGGGGTGACGCTGGCGGCATCATGGCGTGTGCAGTGGGTGTGAGTGCGCTGGCCATGTACCCTCTGTTGGCGGCGCTGGACTTCAGCGAGCGCAGGCCGGCCGCCCAGATACATGAAGGCAAGCAGACCACCCACTCGTCAAGGCGGCAATGCATTTATTTTCTCTTTTTGTAATGTTCAGGCGCCGATGAGGCCGAGCGTCCTTCCAAGCGAGCCAAGAAGGACGCCCACTCCCCCATCCTCCCTCTCGCGCCCCCCTCCGCAGCCGACACGGCGGCCTTCCAGGAGGACATGGCCAATTTCCTCACACACGTCACCACCCTCCGCAAAGCCCTCCTCTCGGCCGTGCCCAAGGACAGCAAGCCATCAGCAGCATCCTGGGCGACACGAGTGGCCGATGCGTTGCCCCCGTCGGTGCTACTGGAGGGCGGGGGTGCGTCTGAGGGCATGGTACGGCAGGTGGTGGACCAGATGTGGGCTGCGGTGGGGCCACAGGCATCGGACGCCACCGTGAGGCAGATGCTGCAGGTGGTCACGGGCGAGCACCCCATGGTCGCCATGACGGAGGGTGAGGGAGACGGAGAGGAGAACGAGGCAGAAGAGGCCGACGTGGTCATGAATGGCGACAATCATGACGAAGGTGAAGAAGAAAACGAAGACGAGCGCGATGGCGAGCAAGAAGAGGAGCAAGAGCAGGAGCAAGGAGAGGGAGAGGAGGACATCAGCCTCGATGCAGCAGCGGCCTTCGCTGCCTTTGCAGGCGACCTGGAGCTCGAGCACCTCCCACCCGCATCGGCAGTGGCCGCGCAGAAGGCCGCTATCGACGAGGAGGCCAAGAAGGAGACCAAGAGGAAGCAGCGCCTCAAGGCCTTGCATGACAACCTCCACGTCCGTATCCGAGCCCTCGACGCACTGCAGGCCTACCTCCTACACGCCCCTCTCGACACTGCCGACCGGCTCACCACGGCTATGGACACGGCCATTGCTCTCTTCGGCGTCCATCGAGAGACGCTGTCATTGAGCGCCTCCCGGCAGCTGGGTGGGGTAAAGGGCCTGCCAGCGCTCGTGAGGGACTTCGCGCGCAAGCTGGGGTCGACCATCGAGGCCTTCGTCAGGCGGAAGGAGTTCAGAGCGGCCGATGGTGGCGAGATGACAGCAGTCGACGAGGCGTATGTGAAGGGGCACTGTGAGGCGCTGGTGGAGCTGTGCAGCAGGAAGGTCCCCGACAAAGCCCAAGTCATGTACAGCGCCCTCGGTGCCGCCCTGCTCGCCCTCGTCTTTCGGCTGTCTGCATCGCCTGATGCGTGTGCTCGCGACACCCTGACGGCCGCCCTGACGCAGTGGACGACCAAGAAGAGCTGCCACCTTACGTCATCCTTCTTCCGCTTCTTTATGACGCGCCACCCTCTCTGGTGCGCCGAGGTGCCCTTCGCCGCCGTGGCCACATCCGCACGGTCGGTGTTCCTGCAGCGGGAGTGCATCGCCATCCAGGGGGACATGTTCGTCAAGGCTCACATGGCGATGCTCGCACAGCAGGGCAAGACCGCCCATGCCGTTGAGCTGATGATGGCGCTGCTCGAGTCGTGCCTCAAGTGCCTGCAGCTGACGCAGCAGCAGGACGGCGCGAAGGAGTTCGCATCGGCGCTGCAGCGTGCCAGCTACAAGAAGACCGTCCTCGAGGCCCTCAGGAAAGCCCTCTTCGCCCTCGTCACGCCCCCGACCGACGACGTGTCTGCTGACCTCCACACGGCCCGTGACGCGTTCCTCTCACAGAGCGCTCAGCTGCAGGAGCTGTCCAAGGAGGAGGGGGGCAAGAAGGAGGGCGGCGGCGGCCGGCACCAGACGGCGGCTCGGAACGCCGTCAAGCTGGTGCAGCGACTGGCGGGGCAGAACAAGCAGCTGCTGGACCTGCTGGCTGTCAAGAGAGAGGAGGGGGACGGCGTGGCCGCCCCAGCCGCCATCAAGGACAAGCCAGATGAGGGGGATGAAGACGACGATGGGCAGATGGCGAAGCCCAAGAGCAAGAAGAGAAGGAAGGATAATCAGCCAGTGGATGGTTGATGAACGGAGGAAGGTGATGCTTGGTGCTGTTCGGTCGGTGTGCGGGTGTGAAAGAAAAGACCTCGTGGGTGTGGCACACCCTTTTTGCTTGGATGAGACAGATGCGGTTTTGAGATCTGAGTGAGAGGGCGTGTCGTGGTGTCTTGGGATTCTCGGTGTGTACGTTGCCTGGATGCATGGCCGGGGTGGTGCGAAGACGTGTCAGCGACTGGCAAGTGCACTGGCACGTCATTCAGCCTCCTCCTCTATGCCGCCCGGCAACGGACTGCACCGTGATCGGGACAAATACATGCACGGTGTGTACGGGTGAATTCATTCAACACATGACATGCAATGTCGGCAGTGCATGAATACACCTCACACACACACACACACATATGCACCATCCCTCCCCCCCTCCAGTGCTGAGATCCCCCCCCTCCAGTACTGGGATGCAAAGCGATCTTCTCTACGAGACACACACCCACACCAATCGACGGTGCACACACGGCACTCTACATGGAGGACAGCGGCTGCGGCCGGATACGAACATACGTCTACCCTACCAAAGCTGGGTGGGTGGCCGGTCTGGCTACACGAGTCTGGACCTCACCGGTGCGGGGAAGAGGGACGAGTGTACCCTTCTACTGTTGCTGGCCCGCATCATGGCCAGAAACTCGTCAAAGTCCACACATCCGTCATTATTGGAATCAGCCTGCATACACGACACGACCGACACACACACACATGGAAGGACAGAGAGAGAGTGCTGAGTGAGACACACTCGTCAGTCAGGGTAGGTAGCCTACCTCTTTGATGATGTCGTCAATGGATCGGTTGTTGAAGTTGTCAGCGAAATGCGTCCCCAAAACCTGCTTCAACTCTTCCCTGACACATCCACACCGCATCTCTACCGAGGGCGAGACACCACACCCGGTGGCATGCACTAGCTCACTTGGTGATTTTGCCGTCGCCGTCGAGGTCAAACACGCGGAAAGCGGCCCGACACGCCGATTCCTTGTCATAATACTGCTGTGATATGCCCGCTGCCAGGAACTCTGTGTAGTCTGCAAGACACAAGACGAGAGCAGGGGACGTATCGACACTAAGGGGTTCCTGTGTCTCCCGAATCAAGTACCGATTTTGCCGGACTGGTTGGTGTCTATTTCCCTGACCAGCTGGTCGAAGTTGGGTGGCAGGTTGAGCCGCATCCGCATGAACCCATCACGCAACTCCTGCATGACATTACCGCCACGTGTCTGTCCAGAGACACATATCAATCAGTGGCCGGCAAACCATACCCACCTGTGATGAGAGCACCCCATCGCCGTCGGTGTCGAGGGCGACAAAGATCTTGTGCAGGTCCTGGATCTCCTTCTCCGACAACTGGTATGCGATTACTGTGATGGCCAGCTGCTTCATGACGGCCTGTGTGCGGAAGGCCTTGAAGTTCTCCACGATCAGGGGGTTGATCGTCGGCTGCACCGTGTTGGCTTCGCCCTTCTTGAGCGTCTCCACCATCCACCTGTAGACACGCACACCGGGAGTCACTCGTACGATGGCATGTATCGGCCTTACGAGTGCGAGAGTGCCTGCTATGCGTTGTACCTCTTCTGTGGGCTGAACACTAGCAGCCTTTTGACGAGGTCTTTGGCCTTATCGCTGACGTGCCCCCAGAAGCGCGGGTCGAAGTCATACTTGCCGCTCTTGACCTCCTTCAAGATCTCCTGATTGTCCTTACCGTCTGCAGGGACCAAGACATAGACACACATGTGCCTGCCGGCTCTTATCTCTCAGAGGCATCCCTCCACCCATCGTACGGAATGGGGGGTAGCCGGCGAGCAGTATGTACAGGATGACACCGGCGCTCCACAGGTCGCACTTGTTGTCGTACTTGCCCATCAACACCTGAGGCGCTGCACAAGACACACATGTACCCTCGGCCACCTTGTGGCCGTGTGCCTATGTCTAGGTTGGTTGCTGACCGACGTAGTATGGCGTCCCGACCGTCGAGTAGAACTCATGATCCTTGGAGCACATGGCTGCGAAGCCCCAGTCGATGATCTTGATGGACGACGTCGAGCTGTCCGTCGAATACAGCAAATTCTCAGGTTTCAAATCCCTGACCACACGGCCACCAGGAGCAATCAACGATGCTCCCCGCTGACGACAAAGTGTATTCATGTCTCCACACCTACCTGTGGATGATGCCATTCTCATGGCAGTACCAGATGGCCGACAGGACCTGCTTCATCACCACGGCGGAATGGTACTCGCTGAAGTGGCTGCAGCAAAGGGAACACGGACATTCGCTGGGGATAGTCTCTTAAGATCGGATGTGTGTGTATGTGTATGTGTGCGTGCCCGCTCTTGATGATTCTTGCGAACAGCTCTCCACCCGTGCACAGCTCCAGCACCAGATAGATGTGCTCATCATCCTCAAACACCTCAAACAATTTTCTGAGGCGTACCATACACAGTAAGTGTGGGGGCAGGGCAGCGTTTTGCTGACATGACATACATGATGTTGGGGTGGTCGAGTTTCTTCATGATAGTGATCTCCCTTTTGAGCCGGGTGATGTTCTCGATCCTGGACTTCTTGATGATCTTCACTGCACGGACAGCGCCTGTCCGCCGGTCCCTCGCCTTCTGCACTGCACCCACAACAAACACACATGCGTCCATCCACGGATAAAGAGAACAAATGCCAGCCCTCGTGCACTGACCGCTTCCATAGCTGCCCTTGCCCAGCTGCTCGCTGGTCAGCTCGTAGTAGTCCTGAATCGACTCATTCTCTGCACGCACAAGCGATACATACACTCACTGACGAGCAGTTCTGAATGTCCCTCTTCTTCTCCCTCCCTCACTTCCAAGGCTCTGTTCTTGCACGATGCTCTGTCTGTCGAAGGCAATTCTGCCCTCGCTGGCACTGGACGAGTGCAAGCTGTCCATGCCTTCCTCCCGAGACCGGACAGTACAGCACGAGGCCCAGGAAAGGATGCTGAAGGGGCTGGGGCGGGCCTCTGCACTGGATGGGCTCGTGGCAGCGGCAGCAGCAGCAGCTGCGGGGCTGCTCGGCTGAGCCGGTTCATTCGGCGGGGTCGACGGCAACTGCACAGGCAAAGGTGGCCCATGCATTGCAATGCAGTTCTTCTCTCTTCCTCCCGACCAGTTTGTCGCGCTCTGCCGCGCAGCACGTGCAGAGTGAAAAGTACTGACATCCACAAACAGAGAAGAGATGTCAGCGGCTCCCACGCGCGTCTTCCTTCCACCTTTGGTCTCGCCTTGGCCTTGCCCCTGTGTGGCTCCGACCGCCGCTGGCCTTTATGGTGATGGTGATGGTGGTGGTGATGGTGGTGGTGGTGGTCGTGTCTGTCTGCACGCTCCTCCTCGTTGGGTGGCGCCATTTGGAGAGGAATTTTCGGGCAGCTTCACCCGGCAGATCAGATTCGAAGGCTTCTGCGGCGTCTCGGCTTCTGCCCCCACAGCTCGGACGCAGATCTCCCCCACTTCCCCCTCTTCCCCCATGGCAGATGGCGATGGCGATGGCGATGGCGAGGAGCCGTCGCGCATGTTCGTGTCGATGGAAGTCGACTGGCCTGTGTACGACGTCTACCTCACAGGCACCCTGATCAAGAGAGGCAACAATCGTCCCTGTGAGCATGAGAAACACACGCACAAGAGGCTGCAGGAAACGCATACGTGTGTGTCCTGCCTTGCAGATGCGTGGGTTGAGCGGCACGTGATCTTGTGCAACACGGTACTACTGTACTTCACACGAGGCTACCTCACCCAGCCTCGCGGATACAAGATATTGAGTACATCGTCTACTGCATGCTGTCCAAAGCGCTTCCACGGTACTCAAGGCAGGCAGGCAGGCAGGCAGACAGCTCACAGGGGATACTCACATCCGCTGATCCGGGTTTTCACTGTGCGCAGGTTACCCAAACTGTGTGCTGGTGTTTGACGTACCCGAGGGTATCACCCTCCCCTCGACAGCTGACATTGACGAGGAGAATGGCGACTCCCTCCACAGCACCGGACACTCATGCGCACCTTCCCACGCGCCCTCCCTGACATCCAGTCACCACAGCGGGGAAGAGGATGACCAAGATCTGCGGATCATCGATGCCTTCAGACGTGCCGAGAGCCCCAAGTTTGCCTTCTTCGCCCCATCGCAGCGAGAGGCGAGTCGGTGGCGGAAGGCGCTGATGCGTGGATGCATCCTGGCTCGGCTGCTGAAGGAGGGCAAATGTAGGCGGGGAGGGGTGGAGAGGGAAAGTGGGCTGCATGGTGACGGATCTAGTGCGTGTTGTTGATGTGATTGTGACAATCAGTGATCGAGGAGAGGCATCACCATGCCGCTATGAGGGTTGCGGAAGACGCTGTGCAAGGTGCGCCGACTCATACAGCCACCAGTCAATATCCATCTGTCCTGCATTTTTGGTGCGTGTGGTTTACATGCGTGCAGCTCACAGCATACAGGTGCTCTTGTTGACCTCCCAGCTGCGTCAATTGCGAGCATCTGGCCACCACACCCCTCGCTCACCCGATACCTTCACGACTCCACCGGCCCTTCCGAGACGCAGCGCAACACCTGCCCCTCCTCGCGACACCGCTGGTCTCGACCAAGGCCATGGCGACAGGAGAAGTCCTGCACGCAGTGCCGGCCATGCGCATACACGGCAGGGAACGGCCGAGAACGAGAGACCCGCGATTGTGGAGCTGACACTGCCCCCTCTCGCTCTCAACGCCATCAGCCCTCGCACCGAGATCAGGGGCGCTGCGGCTGGTGAGAAGCGTGCTGCTGAGGACCAGCAATCCCTGGAACAAGACACACACGCCAACAGGGAGGGCAGCAAGACCGACCAAAGGGAGGCAACCGCTGCGGCCAAGAAGAGCCCCAATCTGTCAGCTGACAACAACGAGACTTTCAGCGGCGGATCTGTCCCATCTATCGGGGCGTCTATCCATCGCCCCGCCACTCAGCATCATCATCATGGGACCGGATCGTCCCCTCGCGAGTCGTGCGAGCCGGCAGAGAACGACGTCCCCACCGCAGATGGAGGAAGGGTGGATGCCGACAACGACAACGCATTGCCGTCGTGTCCTTCATCGGTGGATGGAGCGTCCGAGACTGTTCACGTGCCGAGTGAGGACGGCGATGACCATCAGCGCGAGCCGAACGGCTGTAACGGTGAGGGGGTGGACGGTGTGGTCGGTTCAGGACGACCGGGGTCCTCTAGTGCGTCTGATGATGACGGCAGTGGCGGCAACAGGGCCAACCCGTCCTCGGATACCGAGTGTCCTGTCACGCCCGTGCTGACGGAGGCCCATCCGCATCGCAACAACTATCCTCTCCTGCTGTCGTCGCCGCCCCACCCGCAGCCAGCGCTCTCGTCCCCAAGATGCGACCCCTCACTGCCCGCAGACGCACTCCAGATGCGCAACGAGCGGCGACCGCCCCCTTTCCACCCGAATGTGTTGTGGCCCCCGTCGATGCCCCCTCCCTTCCCTCCCCTCCTGCACGAGCTGGGTGTTGCTTCTGGCAGCTTCTCCCCGGCGTTCTTCTGCTCGGTGCCGGTGCCCCTGAATGTGTGCGGGCTGAGCGATGCGGCGATCATGGCCTTCCTGTGGGATGTGACTCCGTGGGTGGGTGGCGAGGTGCCTGCAGTAGAGCTGCGGTCGCGAGAGAGGGGCGTGGGCGTGGTGCTCGAGGACGTGAGGACGGTGGCGAGACTCGCTGTGAGCGTGTAGGGGCGTGGTGAGTATGTGTAAGTGGGGGACCGCGAGCATGGGTTGATAGGTTTACTGTGTGTAAGTGGGGTCTCTGTAGCAGCCAGCCAGTGTGTGATTGCAGCTGTGTTCTTTCGTCGATCCGCTGGCATCCACTTTGCGTGTGTGAGGCTGGGTGTGTGCCTCCCTGCCTGCCTGCCTGCCTGCCTCTCTTTCCCCCATATCTCCTTTATCGAGCTGCCTGCCTGTCTGTGGTGCCTGTGGTGCAAGTGTGTGGTGAGTGTATTCATCTTCCTTCCCTTTTAGCATTTTGACCTCTACGATTGAACACTTTATCGAATCGCTGAGTTCTGCGAGAGATGCTGCTGTGTGGCCGTCATTGTTTCCGTCGTCGGCCTTGAGGACGAGAAGTTGTCACGCCTTTCTCGATCCGGAACGGAGTGACACCTTCTCGGGCCGGGATGCCAACGACAGAAACAGAGGCCGCTTACGCACAGCATGGACAATGCGCCTCACCATTTTCGGCGCGGGGTTATATGTGAGACTGTGTACGTATTGGGACAGCAAAGCTGTGGGAAGGAAGGAAGGCATCATCGTGAGAGATGAGAGAAAGAACAGGGATGCGAGCGATGCATGGTGACGATGTCGACGCTGGCGTTCTTTACATAAGCCAGACTTGTTGATCCCATCCGGTCTCGCTGCTGATGACTTTCTGTGTTGGATTGGCCCATTGTAGCCGTTTGTGATGTCCCATCTGAGAGGCATCGCAACTGGCAATCATGGGCCGTCCAAAACACAGACAGACAGCGGTACAGTAGTGCAGTGAATGGGAGTGGACGCAGAGAAAGGAATGAAGAGACCTTAATTACCACAACAAAACATACGTGTACAAAGTCGATCAAGCGTGCCACCATATGTACACCGATCGAGCGAGGGAGACGCACACTCACTCACATTCATCGATTGCCGTGATGCTGGGTGGCCGCAGTCATGCGCTGTCGTTGTTTGTGCTTGCCACCGTCCTCCTTCGTGTGTCTCATGCGGCCTTGCCCTTTGCTGGTCCGGCGAGCCGCGAGGCCATCCGTCAAGAAGTCATTGGCTCGTCTGACTTCGCCGTATGTGCACACGCAAGCGAGACACACACGACTCACATACCTCGATTGTTGTGTGTGTCTGTCGTGTGTTCATGTCAGATCAACATTCATCCGCCTGAGGTCACACACACACGACACCACACCACACAACGAGGAGATTGTGCGTGCGCATCTCTCTCTCTCTCTCTCTGTGTTGTGTTGGTGTGTGAGTTGTGTTGGTCAGGAGGACACGCAGGATGTGCTCGACTCGCTCGACAAATTGCTGCGGCTGGAAGAAACAGAACGAAGGGCCGACGTACGCAAACACACACAGAACATCAACCAGAGACAGAAACACACAAGAGACACGATCAATGAGTGTGTGTGTGTGTCAGGAGGAGGATTACGTGAGTGAGAAGCAGCGACTGCTCAACCTCCAGAAACGAGTGAGACAGACAGGAAGCAGCGTGGTCTCTTCGGTGTCGTCATTTCTCTGACACAGCAGCGCGTCCGTGACGTCGTCCACGCCGCATATGAACCCCTCCTCGCCACCATCCCTAATCCAATCTCGGTCAGTCGGCCGTCACGCATTCATCACAATCGACACACGACCATCCAATGAATGCGTCTCTGTCTTGCCGTCAGACGCGCATCACTCGAGTCATGTCCAAGTATGTCTTCCCCCAGCCGAAGCGCAGCCGCCTGCCCGCACTGAGATTCCGACAGAAGCAGACTAAGGCGGCGCCCACACACCAACAGCCAGACGGCCCAGTGGAGTCGACTGAAGCCCATATGAATGCTCCTCCCTCGCTATACGGTGAGACACACAATCACCACCCACCAATCCATCCATCCATCCATCAATCCGTCCATCCATTCATATGTGTGTTGTGTCGTGTGTGCAGGCAACCGACTGACACAGCCTCAGTTTCCACCTGTGCAGCCCGAAAAATCAGAGGTGCTGACGCTGCCCAACGGTGTGATTGATGGCAAAGGCACGATAAGTGACCCAGCAGAGGACAAACAATAGACGTACAGTCATGCCAGAGGCACCGACAGACAGACATTGGACGATACTGATGTGTTGACGATTGAGTCAACGTATTGAATGGATGGAATACACTGAATGCTTTATCTGCACACACACACACCCCGATCAGCCGAAAAGTGTCAAGCGTCACAGCATTTCTGTAGGTGTATGGCTGCTGTGCGTCCCATACACAATTCACGCAGCCATTTCAGTCAGTTTGATATTCGCACAATTCACACAAGAAGAGAATCACTTCATCCACTACAGATATGCTCCATCCATCCATCCATCCATGCATGCATGCATGCATGCGCCATCTGTCAGTCATCCCTCGCCTCTAGCCACTCACTCAGTCGTCTCCCCGATACATATACATCAACACACTCACACCCATCCATCCACCCTCTGCAGTAGCCCTCCCGCTCACACTCTCCCCTCCCTCTCCCTGCCTGCCTGCTCATCCCAGCCCCTCCCCTCGCACCCCTGTGTGCCATCTAGTGCCCTTTGCCGTGCTGCTGCTATGGCTGGCCTGGCGTGTTTGGCCCCGCCTGTCCGAATGGGCATCAGACGGGCGGTCGCGGCCTCGTGGCGTCCGTGTTTGGGTGTGGCTGGACGGCAGTGTTGAGCGGCATGGGTGGCATGGGGCTGGGCGGTGGAGCCAGGAGGGGCATGCCATAGGGGATCGGCGGGTGTGGGAAGGCGATGCCGCGAAGAGGCGGGTAAAGCAGAGGGGGCGGCATGAGTGGGGGTGGGGGAGGGGGTGGGGGTGGGGGACCGACTAAGCCCAGCATATCCACCATCATTTCCCGGATTTCGGGGCGGCTCAGTTCTCCTATGGCAGCTGAGCCATTGAGCTGTGCGGATGGAGCCGCCATCGACGCACCGGCCCCCGCACCTGACGGGCTGTGTCCGCTGGGCGGCTGAGGGGCCTGCGGCGGCATCGTGAACACCGGGCGAGCAACACGCCGCATGGCACACACAGACAGACAGACAGACAGACAGCGATGGATGTGCGAAGGTGGCATCTGTCCAGTGTACCTGCTGCTGTCCGCCATGGGTCATCGGAACGGCTATGTCAGGCACGCCAAACAACTGCATGAACACACATACACACACAGAATGAATGCGACTTACCTCGTCAAGGATGTGAGTGAATCTCTCCCATCCTTACCTGTCCAGGTGATGGATAGAGAGCGGTATTGCCGGGTGCTGCCGGTGCAGCAGGCACCCACCCATCGCCATAAGGACCATCACCACCGCTTCCCGCTGTCTGCCGGCCGCTTGCCGACGCACCCATACCTTTACTGCTCACGGAAAAACCAAAAGAGGTGCTGGCGCCGTCGGCATGGTCAACACCAAAACGCGAGGCAACTCAGGCCCTCGGTAAAAAGGAATGAAATGTGAGCCGGCTCGAATTTACGAAGCGCCGTGAAACCGCTCTCTGAGACTCTTCTCTCTCTTACTCTCGGGAGTCAACCTTGAGGAGGCGCATCGTGAAACGCGGGCTGCTTCAGGAGCCGCACACGCAACAAACCAGCTGTTCGCATCGACTTCATCATCATGCGGCACGTCTGCGCGAGAGCATTGCTTGTGACAGCCTTGCACGTCTCGTGCATCACGGCACAGGTGCGCGTGCTGTCGCCGAAGGACCTGGTTGAGGAGATCCGAGCGACTGGCGTGGAGAATGGCGTCATTCCAGGGACGACAGCCACGTTCGGCGCTCCCTTCGACGGCAAGGTGGTGCTGGGCCAGCTGCTGTACAGCCACTCGGCCACGAGCCACTGTATGCCCGACTACAACCTGGTTGCGGCTGAACCCTGGGACATGGATGGAGGCCCCAAGCTGCTGCGCATCGTGCTGGTCGACCGCGGCGAGTGTAAGCATACACACGCACGGTTCCATTCGTGTACCAATGTGTCAATGCGTCATCTTATCAAAGGTTCTTTCGTGACCAAGGTGGAAGTGGCGGAGGACAAGGGCGCCGATGCTGTCATTGTGGTCGACTCGAAGAACTCAACTCTCACACGCGAGGACATCAAGCACATCATCATGGCGGACGATAGCTGGGGCAAGCACATCAAGATCCCGTCGATTCTCCTCACCCATGCCGACGGGCAGCGGCTGATCGACGCTGTGGTGCGTGCCGAGGAGGCCGGGGGGGACAAGTACGACCAGGCGGTGTTTGCCGAGCTGACGTGGAGCATCCTCCAGAAGGATGTGGTGGCCGTGGACTTCTGGACCGACGCCGCCAACGAGCAGGGCACCCGATTCCTGGCGGACTACTCCAAGGACGCCGAGACCCTTAAAGGCCATTTGCGCTTCTCGCCTCACTACCACATTTTCTCTCGGCCTATCGACTTTTACGACCTGTGCAAGGACAAGGAGACAGCCAAGTTCTGTGCCGACGACCCTGACGGCCCCGGGGACATCACAGGTCACGATGTGGTGCTCGAGGACCTCCGGCAGCTGTGTCTGTTCTCCGTGACGGCCGAGGAGAATGTCGACGGCATCAAGGACAGCCGCTACTCCAAGGCCTTCTGGGAATACATCGACCGGTTCGCCAAGGAGTGCCCCATCGTCGACAAAGCCGCGGCCAGACCGCCCAAGGGCGTCAGCCCAGACGAGTACCGATTCGGCGAGAAGTGCTCCTTGCGCATCCTGCGGGGGCTGATTCCCAAGAAGATGCACGAGTTCGAGACCTGCGTTGACGGGCCGGATGGGCTGAAGCTGCTGGAGGAGGAGAAGGAAAACATGGCGTGGAGCGTGCTGGCAATCAGAATCAACGGATGGAGGTGAGAAGGCGGACAGGAGAGGAAAGGACGCAGCCGATCGGTGGGTGTTGATTCTGTGTTGCTTCAGGTTTAGCGGCATGCTTGAGCGCAACTTGGTGACCAAGGCAGTGTGCTCGAGCTTCATCGAGCCACCGGCACCATGCAAAACACTACTCAAGTGAGGACACAGAACACACACACACACACAGGCAGAGAGAGAGAGGTGAGAGAGGGAGAGAGACCATTCACACGCCCGCCTCTGGATGGGTGCATCCACAGAGAGATGGAGGGCTCTCTGTCCAAGGTGACGAACAACAAGGGTGTGGGTGCGGGTCCCGTGACGCTGATCCTGCTCGTGACGCTGGTCCTGCTCATGCTGGTGGTCATTGTCGCCATCGCCGTTTACTTCTACCAGTCGTACCTTCGCAAGAGCGTGCGTACGGCTCTGCGTGAGGAGGTGATGCTGGAGGAACAGGAGAAACGAGAGCAGCTGCAGCAGGCGTTTGCGGGAGAGACCAGCGTGTGACGTGAGAGGGGAGAGGTGTGGGATGAATGCGAGTGTGGTGGTGTGAAGACTCACCTGGATTTGCTTGTCTCGACGCGTCTGTTGATATAGCTTTGCCCGTCTCTGTCCTTCTCTCTATCTCTTTTTGGTCTGTCGGTGTGTGTGTGTGAGAGAGAGTGCATATGTGTGTGAGTGAGTGGATGGGTGGGTGGGTGGGTGGGTGGATGGTTGGTTGCAAGGTCCGTGTGAGTGAGAGGTCAGTGTGGTTGATGGCAGCAGCGCCAAGTGGCTACGGTCTGCATGTTTGTGTCTGTCTGTCTGTCTGTCAGCCTTAGCGAGGCCAATCGCGCCTCCCTACCAGCCCGGAAAGCTGGATGTCCCGCCGTCCTGTGCTCAGAGGGCGGAAAGCCAGCCTTCTGCCTGACCCAGTGTGCCGCCACACTCACCGACAGACAGACATTAGAAGACACTGATGTGTTGACGATTGAGTCAACGTGTTGAATGGATGGAATGCGCTGAATGGTTTGTCTGCACGCACACACACACACACACTGCAGACAGACAGGCAGACAGACGGACGAACGGATTTGAAAGACAGACAGACGAGAGACCTTCAAGCGCGCCCAGGGAACGATTGGCCAGCGTCACGGCCAGCATAGCCCAGCGGTTGTTTGCGGTTGCAACCGCTGCCTGCAACGCCGCGTGCGCTACGGAGCACACCGGTGGGGACAGGCCCACGTCCTGAGTTGAGCGGTGTTGCAACCAGCCCGTCTACAAGGGTAGCTCAGAGGCGGGATGGACGTGGCTGGGCCTCGGCCGCCCAGCCACCCGACGACGGGGACGACTCGTCAACGGGCTGCCTTGCGGTGCATCCCTCGGTCAGTGAGTCGTCAGCCAGCACAGACAAAGCACCAACTGCAAAGCACGGACGCTAAGTGTGTTTCTCTGTGTGCAGGAACGAGTGGCGTGGCGGCGTGACCCAGCCCCCGACCAAATGCAGCATGAGAGCAACAACAGGGGAGCCGTCACAGAGGAACCAAACACCGAGATGCACTGTGCCAAAAGAAGGTGAGTGAGACAGAACACACAGCACTTCGCACGCAGCGGAGGGACGGAGGGAGGGAGGGTGGGTGCCGCCGCTGCTCGGAGGACGGAGAGCTGCCTGCCTTGTTGATGTCATGTGCGTGTACCTATATATGGACTGTAGTGAACTGATGTATGGAAAGACATGAATGCATTCAGCACATACATGTGAGTAATCCAATCCATCCAGCATTGTTGACTGACTCATCACGTCAATAGCCAGTGTCAACAATCGCGTCCATGTAGTTACATAGACCTCTTGACGCCTGTCTGACTGTGGGTGGGTGGTCAGGCCCTGCACCAGTCAGCTATGGCCATCTCCCTCAGATGCAGAGAGATGACCGACACTGAGGAGTGCAAAACCAGCCCCCCCGCAGCCAACAGCAATCACTGTTCATCGACTCTCCTATTGCACTCCAGCCATACATCGCGCTATACGAGGACGCCACTGGGCTGCTTTTGAATCCGCCTCACACGGGTGATGACCCCTTCTGCTGTCAGAGAGAGCATCAGACGTGCCAAACGACTTCACGAACAGCCCCGTGGCCTCCCATCCGAGGTACCTCACACGGACATGAAACTCAAATCCTCCAGTCAGTGTCAGCAGTTGACTTCTCTTCCCTTCCAGACGATGCATGAAATCGTATCAGCAGAAAAGGACTATGTACACCAGCAAAACGACACACACCAGGCAGAGGATCCCACCCATCCACCTATCTCTGCAGCTGTCCCTCCCTCCTCTGCAGCGACCTCTCCTGCGACGAGTGCGCCACACCAGCACCAGCACCACCGGCAGCACGCCGAGACTCGCCCCTGCCCTCGCGATTCACACTCTCGCCGTAGTCCTCCCGCAGCACAAAGGTCAGGTCATCCGCCGTCGCAATGGCTGCAGAGCGCTCGGGAAGCCGTTGAGTCTCCTGCCTGAGGTCGGCCACATCCTTCATGTCTCGACAGATCTGGAGCAGCTGCCTCTCCGCCGCCGCCGCCAGCAGTCGCAGGGCCACCATGTCGCTATCTGCGCGGCATCCAGCGCGGTGCAGGTGGTGTTGCGCCAGCGAATCAGGGATGAGCGGCTGCCGGGCGTTCAGCTTCTTCGCGAGGCTGACGATGCGATTGCGGAACTCGCTCTCGACAACAAAGCGCTGCTGGTCACCAGACGACTCCGTATTCATCGTGAAGGCCGGGCAAAGACATCTCGCACCGTCAGCACGCTAAGCTCGCGGGTGTGAAGAGGAAAGGAGGAGCGAGCCTCGGATGCGCATGTGCAATGACTGACGCAAGGCTGATCTTCCATCCTTTCTTCTCCGTTGAGATCCACGATGACAGAGTGGTGGTCCGCCGTGCACCTGACCAGGCTTCTCTGCATCTGCTCACACACGACGGCACTGTCCGCATGGAGCTGCTGCCGCCGCCGCAGCCCTCCCCGCCCTTGTCGGCCTTGTCAGCCTGGGCATGCCTCGGCACCCTCACCTTCGGTGCAGTGCGTTATCTGGTGGTTGTCACCGAGTGTCTCTACACTGGTGACATCGTGAAGCGGCCTGTCTTCGAGATACGGCGGTGTGAGTTCCTTCGCATCGATGATGGAGGCGATGGGGAGGAGGATGCCGAGAGCAAACTGGCAAAGGACATGGTCGCCGAACTCCTGCACAAGGGCGGATTCTATTTCTCACAGGGGTAGGCCACAGGACAGACACGCATGTCTGAGCGCCCTTGTTCATGTGTATGCATGCATTGCATTCGATGTGTGAATGAATGCAGGTGGGACCTGACGCGGACGGCCCGGCAGTTGCGTGGTGCTGGCGATGGGTGGAGCGACTTCCACTACGAGACTCCCCGTGTGCTCAAGTGTGACCCACGGTTCGTGTGGAATCGGCGCATGCTCGAGGGCCCCATCACCGCACATGCACCCAACTGGACCACCATGGTCATCAACGGGTGAGTCACTGGGGGATGGGATGGGATGGGTCGGATGCCAAATCGCTGTGTGCATTGCATTGCGTGGCGTCTGGTGCGAGGTGCAGGTGTGTGTTGATGCATGAGGTGCCTGGCATGGGCCGTAACATGAAGCTGGTGCTCATCTCGAGGCGCGACTGCCGCAGGGCTGGCGTGCGATTCCACCGCCGAGGCGTCAACCAAAACGGTCATAAAGACATGGCATCGAACTACCGAATAGAAAGATGAGATGCCTTGTCTGCGTTGTGTGTGTTGGCAGGTTATGCGTCCAACTTCGTTGAGACGGAGCAGCTGTTGATATGCCACCAGGGGGGCCGCTACCGCATCTGCAGCCATGTGCAGACGAGAGGCTCTATCCCGCTCGTGTGGAAACAACCGCCAAACCTCAAGTCAGCTGCTCGCTCCGCCACCATAATGATCCGATCTATCTGTTCCGTCCTTGGTGTGCTAGCTGATGTTTGTGTGTGTGTGTGTGTCAGGTGGGCCCCGAAGGCCAAGATATGCGGTGACTTCAGCGCGAATTTCGCCGCAGGCACCCGGCACCTGGAGGAATGTGTCAAGTGAGTGGACTGGGCGACGAGAGGGCTGGCAGGGAGGCAGAGTGCCCGCGCAAATGTGTGTGTGTCATCAGGTTGTATGGACGGAATCTGCTGATAAATCTAGTCGACATGAAGAGCTGGCAAAAGGTACACAACGCATTAGCAAAGCTCGGCACACAGAGACCAAACAGAACAGCGTTGTTTCTCTTCTGTGTATTGGCTCAGCGTCTTGGGGACGCGTTCACTCGTGTGGTGGAGGAGACGGAGAGCCCAAACCTCCACTACATCTGGTCGATACACACACACACACCACGGTGGAAATGCTGAAGATGTCCATCAATCCATTCCTTCGTGCAGGTTTGATTTCCACAAGGAGTGTCGCAAGATGCAGTGGCACAACCTGTCCAAGCTCATGGGACAGATCCAGGACGACCTCGACCACCAGGCATACACGCTCATAGAACTGCACGACGTCCCGTCGACCAACCCACCACCGCCACCAGCTCCCGAGCACCAAGAGCCGCAGCAGAATGGGCCGATTGAGGGCGGCAGGAGCGACACCCTGCTCACAGACAGACCCCCACACACGAAGGTACGCACGCACACACACACACACACACACCGCTGCCATTGACGCATGCGTGGCGTGGCCACATGCTCTCTGTGTGTGTGCAGGACATGGCGCTGGCTGGTCAGGTGTTGCTCAAGCAGTCGGGCGTGTGTCGCACCAACTGTGTCGACTGTCTCGACCGCACCAACGTGGTGCAGTCACTCCTGGCACGCCGCTCGCTGCGGCAGCAGCTCAAGCGACTCTGCATCGGATACACTGACGACGGCACCCATGTAAGTCAGCCACAGAGAGACAGCCACTCAGCCACTCAGACATGGCTCAATGTCTGGCGTAATGCCATGTGTGCAGGCGTCTGACGACCCGTTTGCGCCGCTGGCGAATGAGGATTTCGAGCAGCTGTTCCGCGATGCGTGGGCCGACAATGCGGATGCCCTCAGTGCCCTGTATGCCGGCACGCCCGCCCTCAAGACCGACTTTACGCGGCTGGGGAAGCGCACGACGGCTGGGCTGCTGCAGGACGGCAAAAACGCCATACACAGGTGGGACGGGCAAGACGGACAGAGCCTGCCTGAGGATATCGTCTGTGTGCTCCTTACGTCGTCAGGTACTTCCTGAACAACCTCGTGGACGGATACTCCCAGGACTGCTGCGACCTGCTGTTGTACCAGTCCCCCAGTCTCTCTTGCGACTCCGATTCGCCCCCGCCCCCCCACCCCACCACGCCACGCAGCCTCTCACCCGCGCCCCACCCGGCCCACCTCAAACCACTTCGAAAGCCACACTCGGGCGTCCGGCGAGTGCTGACCGAGTTCATGCTGCTTCTGGTCATCCCCTGCCTCTTATTCGACCAGTGGAGAGGGTTTCTGGTGACGGCTGTGAGCAGCGGATTCCTGCTCGGCCAGGTGGGGCATCGCGTGATGGTGGAACAGATGCTGCGGGCGATCGAGTGGTTCCTCTTGCCCACCTATGCGACGGTCATCGGCCCGATGAGGGGGCTCTCTCGAACCGTGACCCTCATGGCTGCTGGCTCTGTGACGCGACTCCTGTGGATAGAGAGATACGCCGGTCCGCTCGTGACGGCTTTGCACCAGCTGGATGCTTCCCTGGCATCTCTGCCCGCTTCCCTGCCGGCAAGAGTGCTGTCTGAGGGCAAGGTGTGGTGGTTGCTGGGCGAGGGATTTGCCCCCGAGTCGGTCTACTGGTTCATGCAGGCCTTCTCTTGGCTGGTGGAGTGCTCTTCGGGTGTGCTGGTCGTCATGGCAGTGTTGAGCGTCGCGTGTTCGGGTTGGATGCTGCTGCGGGGCGGTGCTGTGGTATCTAAACCCCGGTTGGTGTCGCAGTAGGTGCGCAGAGTGAGTAGCCATCCAGTAGCGGAGACAAGACTGATGTGTAGACCCAGGCTGTAGGCAACTCGTATGTGTCGCTGGGTGTTTGGTGATATGACGATCGGACGAATCGCATTGATGTGACGTGCGTTTATGCGTTTATCACTTGCGTCATGGCGGGCATACAGAAGGGTCTCTCATACGAACAGCCGCCTGTGTGTGCCGATGCCGCCAACACCTTGGCCACGTACCACCGCAGCCCCACTGCTGAAGGCTGCGGAGGATGTGCGGCAAGACGATGGAGACACCGGCACACACACGGCGGACATTTCCATCATCACATGAAGCTTGGTTCAGCCATATATTCTCCTGCCTGCTTGCCCTCCTCTGTGCGGGCCGTCTGATCAGCGCTTGATGATCCCAACAAATAGCTCACGCCCACCCGCTCTATTGCGATGAGAGAGCTAACGCAAGGGCCCATCAAACGTAGATCAGACGGCACCATCACCTCGGCAAACAAGCCATTCTGCTCTCCTGCATTGAGTACAGTGCTCGCCATTCGCCATCCTTCAGCGATCGATCACACACGAGCCATGTGGTGCTACGTACAAACCACGTATGACCCACTTCTCCCTCCCTCCAGCCGCCTTCGGTTGCCTTGGCTGCCGGCATGCCTCCCAGCCTCACTGTGCAGGTGAGTAGACGGTCTTACCCGGGAGGGACGCCAGCCAGCGGTCACGACCATACTCCCACCATCTGACAACCCCCACACACGAGCATTGCGACATGCAGGGACCCCTCCCCTCCCTGTGTACTCATTGGGTATTGGTGGCATGGCGTGACGTACGTACCTGCAGGTTATGAGGTCTCCGGTCCATCTGCCGAGCCAGGAGCCGCCGTATGCCATGAAGGGCAGCGTGATGAGCTTGGCCTTCCAGTCGTAGTGTCGCAGCGAGTACCACGTGCCAACCGTCGTCACAGCCGTGCCCAGCCACAGATACACCATGCACTGGACCTGACACACGAATGCAAAGCGAGTCGGCCAGACCACTGCAGCCAGCGTGTGATTCCTTCCTTCCCTCCCTCCCTCCCTCCCTCTGTCGCCTGACTGACCTGTTTTGAGATGGATTCCTGTCTGGTGGCGCATATCTCTGCGATGTAGGGTCTGACTTTGTCTTGTGAGAACCGCTTGGTGAGGACCTTGTACATGTCGCTCTTGTCGGGCTTGGTGTAGTTGAAGTGCAGCGTCGGCGGGTACAGCAGCAGACCCAGATGCTCCATCCTCGTCAGCTTGCGCACACCAAGGGACGTCTTCTCCTCGGCTACGGTGATGTCGGAAGGCACCTGCACACAACAGCACACCACAGCACAGCACAGCTCAGCGACCAGAAGCCATAGTGGACGTGTGGCTGCTGCGCTCGAACGGCGTCTGCGGCGTCGGGGCTGGCTTACCACGAGCTTGACCATCGCTACAAAAAACTGGATAGATCCAACAACCTGCTGGATCACGTGCCTTCAGGGGGGCCCTGACAGATCCACCAAGCTGTCTGACCGGAAGGAACCTCCACCCGTCAAAGTGGTTTTTTGAGCTTGCAACGTGACAAGCGAAATTGGGCGACGTAGCTTCTGGAGAGCAATTGAGGGGCTGGCGGATAGCTGCTGTCTATCGATTTCGCTCCTTCACCGGGTGTATGTGAGCGAACGTCTCTCGGAAGCGGCCGTCGGCTGACGATGGGACGCTGTGAGAGGCGTCGACTCGCCGGATGAGCTGCTGCTGACGTCCTGTGTCGGTGCGAAGGGGAAATTTTTAGTTCGGCAGTTTTAAGACGACAAACGAGGTCCACTCTCGCCGCTGAGGCTTCTGGCGGTCTTTCTTGGCTGAAGTAGGCGAGAAGTAGTGGTGATGTTGAGCGCGGAGGATCTGGCGCCCGGTGCGTCGGGCGGCGGTGCGGGTGAGGGGGAGGAGACGCTGTCTGAGGACTGGGACGGTGTGTGCCACATATGTTTTCACGAGTGGGACGAGGAGGACCACCAGATGCTGCAGACGGAGTGCTGCGGCAAGAACCTCTGCTCAAAATGTTTCGAGGTGGGAGGGAGGGACGACACACATGAGATGAGAGGGGGAGGCTGAGAATCAGCTGATCAGGAGAGGGAGTGCATATGAGGATGTGCATGTCTGATTGTACGTGTGCATGTTGTGTGTTGGCAGGATTGTCAGACGAAGCTCGAAGCGGTCTGTCCCTTCTGCCGCGCTGGCGAAGGTGGGTGGGCGGGGGCGGGTGGGTGACAGCTCACCACAACACACAGCAATGCGACGCTGACGTGACGTGCCTGTGTGTGTGTGTCCCGTGCGCCCCTCCATCCATCCATTCGTTCAGAGGAGGCCGATAAGCGTCGAAAGGAGCGTCCCGCGCATGCACCGGCACGAGTAACAGTGCACTCGTCCGACCCTCCCATCAACCCGGGCATCACACTCGCAGAGATGCGAGCGCGACAGCTGGCGGCAGCAGGTCGGGGCGCTGGGGGCGTGGCGCCGCCGTCATCTGCTAGTGGTGGGGCGGGTCGAGGGGCTGGCCAGCAGAGGGGCGGCGGCCAGCGGCTGGTGATGACCTACAACTCGACGACATCGCAGGATGTGATCCAGGCGTTGCGGCAGAGGGGTGGCGATAGCGAGCAGAAGGGCCTGCTCTACAAGACCACCATGTGCCGATACCACCCCAACTGCAACAGGATGGACGAATGTAAGCGCTCGCGCAAACACGCCGTCACTCCCGCATCCACACCACAACACACCCATGTGTACCTATGTATGTATGTGTGTATGTGTGTGGGTCCCTCCTGCCTTCAGGCCATTTTGCCCACAACGAGCGAGAGCTCCGCGACACATACCAGAACTCGCTGTACATTCGTGCCGGCGAGGACCTGCCGCGCATCGTCGACATGCGCTTCCTAGAAGAGCTGAAGCGGCGAATCCCCCGACTCCCCCGTCCCCACCACCGCCCCGGCCCCATGCCGTCGTCCAGCTCGTCCACACAGCCCCCCATGCCCCACGGCAGCATATCGCAGCGCGTCTCGCCCGCTCTGTCCACATCAGAGAGCGGCTCGGGGGCGGCGGCTGGTGCCGGGAGCTCTTCGGCCATCCCTACTGCGATGGCTCCTGCATGGCTCAGGGAGGGCTCGACGGTGCAGCCGCGGGGCAGCAAGAAGAAGGACCCCAGAACGGCCACCACCAAGACAGACTGGCGGGCCAGTGTAAGCACGCCACACACACAAGCGACGCGATGGGTGCAGGCAGGCAGGCAGACAGGCGGGCGGGGAGATCGGCACTCACGCGTATGTGCATCTATCTGTGTGCTGTCTGTCTACCTGTTTCTCTGTCTATCTATCTATCAGAAGCCGTGTCATTTCTGGAAGGAGGGCAAGTGCCGTTCTGGAGACGCCTGTCCATTTTACCATGGCTACGGCTTGCCACCGAAACCACCCCACCACCACCAGCAGCAGCAGCAGCAGTATAAGTTTATGAACGGCCCGCCCCCCTTCCCCCCTCCCATCCCTCCGGGCGTCGGACGTGGCCGTGGCTCTCGCGCAAACCCACCACCTCTCTTCCCCCCTCCACCACACGGACTCGGCCACGGCATGATGCCCACGGGCATGGGGGGCCCACCGATCCCTCCACCCCTCCCCCTGCCCACACAGCTGGAGCAGCCTACTGTTATGGACGATGCCCTCAGGGAGGTGCAGCCGAATGAGACGACGCCTGAAGGCGATGACGACGGTTTCTGGGGCTCTCCCTCACCTGTGGCTCGGCCAATGAATGGCTTTCTCTCTGCTGCTGGGCCGTATGCGTCGCTCAACGGCTACCCTGAAGACGGCCCTGGCCCCTCCGGGCGTCTCAATGGCGCCGTAGGTGGTGGTGGTGTGTCATGGGCGAAAGATCCGCTCACCGGGCTGAGTGAGGAGTTCGTCAAGTCTGAGGACAAAGAGCGGCTAGAGGGTCTGTATGGTTTCGCCTTCGAGGAGCTGAAGCGCGCCAACTTGCCGCCAGAGCGCACCACGGCAGTCAACAAACTGAATGAGCTGGAGGCGCGCGTGTGCTGCCACGTGGCCCAGCAGGAGTATCAGCTGGAGGTCTCTGTCACACCCGAGGACCCCGATGACGACATATCGACCTTCAGCGAGTCGCTGCTCAACCACCTTCTCGAAATGGGCATGATCTATGCGGCCCGCTTCACCGTCACGGCTACTGTGCCGAACACCAAGCCCGCCGAGCCGTCCTTCTCCATTGTGCATCGCGGTCGCTCGGCGGCCTCGCGTGTCCCGTCCCACCCCTCCTCCTCGTCAGGCCCCTCATCCGAGCCTTTCCCGCCCCCCCGGGTGATGCATGCCCCCCCGCCCCCACCACCACCACAGTTAGCCCCCTCTCGCCCCAAGCGCACTGGCGACAGTTTCCTCGCCGACTTGGAGGCAGAGTGGAACAGCTTCGCACAGCCCGGGGCGGCTACCCACACCACCACCACCACGTCAGACGGTGCAGCAGCAGCAGCAGCTGCTGCTGCTAGTGCTTCCGAGGCGGCCTTGCGAGACGGCGACGTGCCGCGTGTAGAGGCCCACGGGGAGGGGCAGGGGCAGCAGGTTGAGGGTACTTCGGCTGAGTGTGAGAAGGAGGAAAAGAAGCGGCATGTGGTGCTGGTGCCGGTGATGCGGGTGCTGGAGCACAACGAGCGTAAGAAGGGCAAGTACGGCTTCAACTCCAACAAGGAGGTCATGTATGAGGAGAAGGTCATCGAGGAGGAGAAGCCCCGCAACCAGGGCCTGTCGCGCGCCGTGCAGCGCAAGAAGAAGACCAAGGAGAAGCACCAGCACGAGAAACTCATGCACCAACAGCAACAGCAGGTGGACCAGAGTGAGACGGGCGGCGGTGGGGACGAGGGGCAGGGAGGCGGGGAGGGGGAGGGGCATAGGACGGCCGGGAGTAGTGACGGCGATCAGGGTGGGCAGATCCACCAGGTGAGACAGACAGGCAGACAGGCACGCAGACATGGAGAGAGGGAGACAATCCGTACATCCACGAAGCGGTCGAGTCATGTGTGTGTGTGTGTGTGTGTGTGTTGTGTCCATTCAGGACACGCAGTCCGACGCCGCATTGGCCGCAGCACTGCAGGAGGCAGAGGAAGAAGTAGCACGGCTGCAGCAGCCAGGGCCAGAGCAAGACAGGTCGGTACCAACCACACACATAGATGTGTCGACACGCACGATCGCCACCCATCCATGCCATGTGTGCCTCATTCCTCCTCCCTCCATCAGGCCCCCCGCCCCTGCTCCAGCCAAGAAGGTTGGTGCTGTGCGTGGTGGCAAGGGCGGCGGCCCCATCCCCCCACCGATGCCGGCCGGCAACAGGAAGGCCGAGAAGAAGCGAGAGAAGCGGCTCAAGCAGAAGCAGGCCAAGGAGGCCAAGGAGGCCAAACTCGCCAAGCAGCAGCCGGCAGGGTCCAGTCGGCCGTGGGACGATGCTGCCAGTCGGCCGTGGGACGGCGGGGGCTGGACGCTGGACTACGCATCCGAGTCGGAGAGTGACGGGTTTGGCGACGTGACTGGCGAGTCGGATGGGGACGACAGCTCTGAGCGGGAGTCGCTGCCGCCGCTCACCGCTGGGCCCAATGACGCCGGTGAGGGGAGACAATGGCAGGATGACAGGCGGCCAGCCATAAGACCCCTGCATGTCGTGATATGTGTTGATGTGCATGGCTGCAGGGCCGCGTCAGCAGCAGCAGCAGTCTTCGTCTAGTAAGGGTGGTGTTGGTGTCTCTGCTGTGGCGTTTGACCAGGACGAGTGGTCGCGTCGTCTGGATGACAGCCCGGACGGGGGCGACAAGGACGACGAGGCCCTCAACCAGGTGGTGCAGGTGTGCGGCCCCTGCAGGAAGGTGGCCCTGTCCCGCGGCATCAACCCCACCAACATGACCGCACGGACGTACTTCACCATTCCGCCCGTAAGTCATTTCCACGCACATAGATGGACCTACCTGTTCCCATAGCCATTTGTGTGTGTGTATGTGTGTGTGTGTGTGGTGTGTGTGTGGCTCCTTCAGACGTCGCTGCCGTGTCTGTTTCCCATGACGGTGATGCCGTCGTCAGGGCCGCGGCACCACTGCGAGTTCTGCATGGCGAGCTGCGTCAGCCCCACCAACCTCATCTGTGCCATCTTCAAGGCCAGGGACGCCATGGGTGAGGACAAGCAGCCCCCACTCAACCCCAACAGCATGCTGCCGCTGTGCCAGCTCCACGCCAAACAGGTCAACCAACATACAAAGAAACACACACAACACTCTGGGCGGCTGCAAGGATTCATCCGTTGTGTGTGGTGCCTTGTGCTGTGTTGTGTCCTGTGCTGTGTTTCCTTCTCTTCTTGGTTTTGTCAGATGATCTACATGTGGGCGGTCCTGCACTTCCTGGCGGTGCGTGCGTCGGCGCCCGAGGGCAGGTGGACCGCCATCAACCAGAAGGCCTTCGGCCCCCGCGAGCAGCGCAACAAGCGTGCCACCAAGAAGGCCAACCTCGAGGCCGCCAGCGACGAGCTCAGCATCGAGATGGCCTGCGGCATCTTGTCGCGCCTCGCTGACGAGCCCGCGCGCCAGGGCTACGACGCCCTGTTCTCCCTGGCCAACCAGGAGTTCACGGGCCGCGACATCGAGCAGATGCTGAGCAAGATCACCCTCGTCAAGGGCAGCCAGCTGGAGAAGCGCGCCACCCTCGTGGCCACCGCCGTCCGCTTCCTGCTGTCGGCGGGGTACTCGCTGACCACCACCGACGAGGACGGCGACACCTTCCTCAGGGCGGCGGCCAGGGCCAAAAACGCGACGGTGCTGCACGCCGTGAGGCGCCTGGGCATGTGCATGTGTGGGGGGTCCATTCTCGCCTCCCAGTGAGGCCTCCGGCAGGGGGAGGGGGGAGGGAGGGAGGAGGGTGATGAAGTAGCCAGACACTTGCGTGAGAGGGCGGGGAAAGTTTTTCGGCTCGGCAAGTGATGGGGGTGGAAGGGGGCAGGGGGGTCGGTTCGCTTTTTGGCTGTCTTGTCTGCGCGTTGCCTGGCCGCCTCCCTGACTGACACTCTTTATGGAACCGACATAAGTACATGTCTATCTCCATAATTCATAAGCTTCCTTTGCTCTTCCCGCTCTGAATGGACAAGCTTTGCCGGTTGGTCCCTCTGGCTCTGCCTCTGTCTGTCTTTCGCCGCCCCTTTTCCCGGACTGAGCTGTCTTTATCTATCGGTCCCTATGTATGCTGCCTGGCGAGTGCACACACACTTACTGGGGTTGCTGGGGATCGACTGGGTGGAATGCATGGATGGATGGGCTCTCGTTCTGGCGTGCCTCGGTGCTGGTGGTGCCGGTGAATTTGAACCCCTGGACGCGTTCTATGACTGCCAGCCCTCCCGACGCGGGTAGGCAGTCATGGAACGGGCTCGGGGGCAGCGAATTCACCGACGCCCCTGCACCCACGAAAGACCGCGCTTGCCGGAAGTCGTCTCCTGTTGATAGACACTATCTACCTGTCGAATGACTCGACTGCTGCCATTTTGACCGGGTGGGTGGGTGATCGAGTGGTTGTGGTGCGGTACGCACGACGGGAGGCTTTTTCCCCTCTGCCCGTTTCTGGCCACGAGTGCAAGCTCGTCTGCACCGAGACGAGCAGGCATTGGTAGCGAAAGGACGGGTGCGAGGCGAGAAGGCACCGGTGTGTACCGACAAATGCCACCCTGGTACTCACACATGCTATGCCGCTGTGGCGTGGCTAGCTGTACACATGGGGTGGGTGTTGGAGGGGACAGCGAATGAAAGACAGATCCATGAATGAATTGATGATACATATGTTCCCCTGTCTTTCCTCTCTTTCTCTCTCTTGCTGGACGGCCTATTTGTCACACGAAACAATGGGTGACTCTTTCTCGCACACTCAGCAGTGGCCTTGCCTTGCCTTGCCTTGCCTGCCGCCTGGCCTCCCACGTGACTGACTGACTGGCTGGCTCCCTTCCTGTCTGGCCGATGGATGGATGGATGGATGAGTGTGCACCACTAATCTAAGACAGGTGGGTGGGGGAGTCGGGTAAGAGCGGGGGTGCACGGCGCGGCGCGGCCTGCCCTGCCCGGGGCCACTATGGGCCACGTGTAGCCTACCCAGCCAGCTAGCTCTCAGCAGTTGGGATGTCCGTGCCGTGTATCCACTTGTCGCTTCTTCCTTCACTCCAAGGTGTGCACTCACTCTGACATGGCGGGCCGGCCCGCCCTGCCAGAGTGAGTGCATTGCATGTCGTTGGTTGCTCGCTGACCCGGTGTGTCGGATGCATTGCATTGCATGTGTGTATGTATTTATGCATCTATCTCATGCGTGTACCTTTAATGCAATGCAATGCAAGACGCTGACTGAAATATGGATGTTGCCGCGACTGACATGGTTCCATCCATTCATTCCGCTGCAGTCAGTCAGTCTGTCAGTTTGTCAGTCTGTACACACTACCGACAAGACGACTACAGACGGACACACAGTCAGACAAACAGATAGGGAGCGACTGCACACCACCGACCGACAGAGCTCACACGCAATCGCATACCCACGCAGCGCCATCCCGCTATCACAATCCGTGAGGCCCTCCCTCCCTTTACCAACTACATGGCACCCAGGCACCCCACGGCTCTCGATTAGTACGCGGGGTTCTGGGGGGCGCTGCACCACGGGCACTGGTGAAAAGTCAACACATACGCATTCCAGTCAGACCTGCAATGCAATGCAATCGCCACATTCACACACACGTTCCCCCCAGATACACAGCAGTCGCTGTCTGAATCATCACCTACCTGTTTGCAGGGCTCTGGCATGTGGAGCACTGCACGCGATCCGCCGGGCTCACGGGGAACCCTGTAGACAGACACCGTTCACGTCACGCAACACAGCAGGCGCTTGCCTTCGGTGGCTTGTCCGTCCGTGTGCTGTGCTGTGTAGTGAATGCCATGCGTACCTGTGACGCAGCACATTTCGTATTGCGCGCCGCAGGGGCCGCGTAGTGAGGCAAAGTACATGTCGCCCTGACAGCTGTTGCACTGCCTCTTCTGCAGGCCGCTCTCTATGTTGGCGTCGACACTCCAACTCAAGACCAGATCCTTCACCTCGTCCTTGGTCGACGCAGACCTGCACAGCACACACCGCCCATCCACCAATTGGACTGGTGTGTGTGTTGTGTTGTGTGGGGGTGATTTGTGCGTACTTACTGCGATTGTCGCTCCGGCAGGTTGAGGTCATATGGTGTGGGGATGTCGCTGTCCTCGAAGTCGGTGTTGTCTATGGTCGAGTTGTCGGGGTCCTCTATCGCCTCAGCAATGTCCAAGTACCTTCACACACCACACACAGCACAAACACGCCATAAGCAACAAGGTCTGTCTGTGTCACTGGTGTTCATGCATGTCTGTGTCACTGGTGTTCATGCATGTCGACCTGGCCTGCCTGCCTGCCTGCGTATGTAGCTACCTGTTGAAGAGCGTGAATGCCATGCTGATCCATCCGACGTTCTTGCACTCCACGCCGGCGTCGTAGAAGGCCTTGTCCGCTGGCAACTCGGTGCAATACCTGCCATCCATCTCAGATATTCCACGGCACCTACCTGTGTGGCGAGTGAGTATCCCTCCCTCCATGCCGGCTCTCTGCCCACCCCACCTCAGCATGGCCACTGCCTGCTTGGCACACACCTCCCTCAGCCCATTGTTGGCCCGCTGCTTGCACAAAGCCTGCCAGACAGACATACGCACAGACACGGTGCGCCACACACCTGACCTGTGTGCCGATAGATGTTGCGCTGTGTTGCGTACGTACGTATGTGGTCATGAGGTGTGCGAGCATGAGGTGCTTCTGGAACTCGCTCGCGGCGGGGCTCTGAAGCGCCTGCACCTGGGCCAGACTCAGTGATGACGAACCGCTGGCACCACCCAGCACCCTATTAGGACACACGGACACGGACACGGACACACACGCATCGGTATGCACCATATCCATGCCTCTGTGTAGGCCATTCTCTGACCTGACGAGCAGCTCCTTGAGTATTTGTGTGGAGGGGAGCGCCTCTTGCGCGCTGAGGAGCTGCTCGGTGATGAGTTTGACCAGGGGGAAGATGTTCTGTGCAGGTGCCTGCTGTGAGGTGGGCGGGGCATTGACGAGGGATATGAGCGACCGGGTGTGCCGCACCAGCTGCTGCGCCGCCTGGACCATCTCGCCCTGCTTCACCAGCACCTGCATCACATGCCAACACCTGCATTGATGTCCTCATGCCTTCATCCACCCACCCACCCAGTCACCTTTGCATTCTGAAGCACGTAATGTGGCAGCAGCTGGGGAGCCGACTGTTCGGCGAGTGCGAGGCACTTGTCCCACTCGCCACTCCTGGCATAGAGGTCGAGTGCGGTGGTGAGCTCCCCCTGCTTGAGCAGCGACTCGCCGTCCTGCCTTTTGACCAGGGCCCTCTTGTGCTCCTCCTCCACCCACACCAGCAGGTCAGAGGTGCCCGCGGCGCTCGCCGCGGCCTTGGCGCGGTCCCATGACTCGACAGCCACGTAGCACTGCACCGCCTCACGGTACTGGTTCATGGACTCGTACAGATCGCCGGCGCTTTCCAGGCGGTCGATGGCCTGCAGGCGGGCGGCGACGTCACGCACCACTGAGGGGTACCTGTCACGTACGTTGGTCATGGCCAAACGGATCTGCAGAACACACAGTAAGGGAGACGGCCGAGGTACGTGTCTAGTGGGTTGGGGTGTGTGTGGTTGGTCTGATGTCTGACCGCGGCTTCCCATATCTCCTCGAGTTTGTCTGGGTTTGGCAGCACGCTCGAGGTGATGGACAGATACGCATCAATGGCGTAGCCCCACTGACCCGCCTCCTCGTAGGCCTGCACAACACACACATCCTCCATCCATCCATCCATCCACACACACGGCCACGCAAGCGGCGTCTTCGCCATGGCCACCTTTGCTGTTTCAAGTGTCTCCTCGACGCTGCCGCCCCTCTGTGCGCCGCCGCCGGGTCGTGACTGGGGTCCGTAGGTGGCCATGACCTCCCACAGCAGGTGGGGGCAGTGCTTCTTGCACACGCGGATGGCCTCGTTGATCATGTTGCGCCCCGTGTACATCGATATCGCCATCTCGGGCTTCTGGGCACTGATGAACAGATTCTCAGCTGCCTGAAAACACACACAGACGCACACCATTTACTTCACTCCATGCTCATTGTGAGAATGGTCCAACAGGTAGGTACCTACCTGGAACTGGTTTTGGTCCGAGAGGTCCTTGGCGTGTCCCATCATGACCTCTGTGACGAGCGACCTGTCGTGTGCGTCTGCTACCCTCATGGCAGAAACCCAGTCGTGCTGATGCATGTACATGTCGACCGCCTCCTTGGGCTTCCCGGCCTGATGACATACAAAAAGAGTGTGCATTGGCCTGGCCGGCCTGATGAATGTCCACATGGATGGATGGGTACCATGATGAACTGTTCCTCTGCGAGTCTGAACTCCTCCTGGTCCTCGTACATGAGCGCCTTCTTCAGATAGATGTCGGGAAGCTGATTCGATTCGTGCCGTCCACCAGACCACATACACACACACAGAGACCGGTCGTCAATCGGCGATGAGTGTATGTGGGTGCGGTCGGCGCATTCGAGATGCTTGCCTTGTGTCGTGCCGAGGTCTGGGCGAGCTCGATCGCATGGTCGAAGTTGTTGTGCTGCAGGGCGTAGTCAATCGCCACCTCTACCAGACCATGCTGACACACACACGACAACGCATGGTCCCCTACTCCTCCCTCCCTCCCTCCCTCCCTCACTCACTCCCCCACACCCACCTTGATGAGCACTTGTGCGCCAGCGTCCGGCCCGTGTGTCTTCGAGACTTCGTGTGCCTGTGCGAGGACGACCTTCTGGAATGCGCCCTGGCCGCCCTGGAGCTTGGCCACCCTCTGCGCGTCCTCCCACCGGTCTAGCTGACGGTACATCTGCACCGCATTCTGCCACGCACGGGCCTCTGATTGAACACACACATTCACTTATGGCGATGTGCTGTGCTGTGCTGTGCTGTGCACTTCCGGCTATCTTGCTTCTTCCTTTACCGATGTAGTAGTGTTCGGCGGCCTTGAGGTTTCCCTTTCTCTCCATGTGTTCGGCGACCAGCTTGTACGAGTCAAGTAGGTGTTCTCGGCGGTACTTGGCGACGAGTCGGAGCATCTGCTCGAAGTCCTCGCGCTTCTTGTACATGTTGATGGCCAAGTCGTACTCCTGCACCGACACGTACGCCAACTCTGCCTCCTACACACCAGACATCCACACCACACAGACACGCGTAATTTCATGATGCGCTGCTGAATGTCATGCTTGTGTGCGTACGTTGAGTTTGTTCTGTCCCTCTAGTTTCCTTGCCATGGACGAGTAGAGCTCCTTCATGTCTGCGGCGGAGAGGTGCATCTTGGCCACACGGTTGGCGCGGTCGAAGTGGTTGGTCTCCACATACATGGCCACGGCATCGTACGGACGGTCGGCCTGCATAGATGCGCACACGGAATTACTCATTCATGTGTTGGTGCCTGCGGGTGCGTGTGTGAGGGAGGCTGGATCTACCTTGATGTAGAATCGTTCTGCGTTCTCGTATTGTTTGGCGGCGGCGTAGTGCTGGGCGATCTTGATGTAGAAGGGCTGCGCCACCGTCGGGTCCCTCAACGACTCCAGCAGCTGTTCAGCCTACACACACACACACACACGCACGTATCGAGACGTCATTCCTCAGGTGAATGGCCCGCTCGCCACGGCTTCGCTCACTGACTTTGTTCCACTGTCTGGCGGCCATGGCGGCCTCGATGGCCTTCTGCGAGCAGCCCGCCTCGATGAAGTGCTGTATGGCGGCGTCGACCTGCTTCTGCGTCACCAGCCAGTCGCCCCACTCCTCCTCTAGCGTCACGACCAGCCCGGGGAAGGACGCCTTGGCCAACTCAACCGCCTTGCGGAACGCATGACCCTTCCTGACTCCAGACAGACACACGCACCAGCATTACAGAGTGGGTGAAATGTGCGCGTGGATGTGTACCTGTAAGAGTCCATGGCTGGATTGATCATGCCGAGTTTCTCGAAGACCTCCCCCGCCTTGTCGTGCATGCCGCTGGCAGTGAGGGCGCTGGCGATCCGCTGCAGCAGCTCCGGCGAGTAGGATGCCGAGTGTCTGTTGACGACCATGGCCGCCTTGGCGGGGAGGCCGCCCTTGACGTACAGCTCGATGGCCTTGAAGTAGTTGCCCTCACGCTCCTGCAACTCGCCAGCCTTCTCCTCCTGACATGTGTGACTCACACACAGACAAGCGTAGGCAGCTTGAGTCAAACAAGTGGATCTGTGGGCTTGGTTTGTCCTGAGCCCACCTGTCCAGTAGACATGAGCCACTGCAGGAAGTGCAGCTTGAGCTGCTGCACGTCGGGGTGGTTCTTCTTCTCAGCCAGACGGATGCTCTCGTCGTACCTGCACATGAATATATATACGTGAGCGATGCGTGCATACAGCACACCACTGCACTGCACTGCAGCCACCCCACCCACCCACCTGTGCAGCTCTTGGTACATGGTCATGGCGCCCTCGAGGTCGTTGTGGTCCAGCAGCAATGCCTCGGCACGCTGAAACTGCTTCGACAACATCGCCAGCCTGCACACATCCATCCATCCATCCAGAGCGAGATGCGATCGATGCCTCTGCGTGTGGAAGGGTCACTTTGCCTGGACGAGGTAGTATCTGGTTCCGTCGCCCCCAAACTCAGCGGCATGGGATTTGACAATCGCATTCACCTGACAAACACAGAGGGAGATGGGTGGCGGGACGGACAGATACACTACAGAGAGCCCTTCCGCCGCACTTTTTGGAGATACGTAGCCTTGGCAACGTCCCCGAGCACGGCGTAGCAGCTCTGTGCGACCGACAGCTTGGGCGCATCATCGTCGAGTGCTGCCTCAGCCAGCTGCCGCCACAGGGCCTCCGTCTCGGCCGTCAGGGCCAGCTCACTCAACAGCACCACAGCCTGACGAGAGAGGATGCGTCAAATGTGTTCACGCGTGTGCAGTGTGTGGGTATGTTTGCGTGCCTGTCCGAAGAGTCTCCTTTCAATGCATCCGCCGAACGAGATGAGTGCCTCGTTGAGTTCGTACTCCTGCTTCCCCGCGCCGTCGTCAACCAACACAACCGTCCGACCTGCACACACAAGACAAGCATGCGGTCCATCGTCTGCAACCTCCCCCGCCCTCGATGACCTACCTTTGGTCCTCTCGATGTCTTCTATGTCGCCCTTGATCTCAGTCATGGTCACCCGGTCGGGCTCCTCTATCGAATACCTGCAGACAGACAGCCGCAACACGGATGACCATGAATGACACACATCACACATGCTTTGGTGCCTACCACTCCGATCCACTCACTCACCAGACGCAGAGGTTTTGTCTGTTCTGCGCGACGACGACATCGCTGTCGGGCACCCACTGGACGTAGTTGCAGTAGTTGAGGAGGGTGGTGCGGCTCTGCTTCTCCAACGTGTACAGGTGCAGCTGACGGCGGTGGTCGCGGAACAGCAACCGATCACCACTGAAAGAGAAGGAAGGAAGCATGCACACACACATGGGGGTCGTGGACTGGACTGGCATGGTGATGGGTGTTGGTCACATACGCGGGGTTGAGTTCCAGCCAGTCGATGCGACAGTCGTGGTTGACAGTGGCCAGCGTCTGGCCATTCGACAGATCTGATATCCTGACGTGCAGACCAGACAGCAAGCGCCACACACACATACGGTTGCGTACATGCCTCCTCCGTGTGTGTGTGCGTGTGTACCGACCGTATGGTCTGCAGGTCCAGCAGGTAGGCGATCAGCTTCAGCGGGCCACCACCAGAACCCTTCTGCCCACCCCACACACGGCAGAACCGACCGACAGGTGCTTCCATCCACTCAAGCAGGCAGGCTATGTGGTCCGTCCAACCATTTTGCTGGCGCCGTATTTGTCGATGCGGACCGATATGAGGTGCGGCGACATGTGCTCGGTGCGGGCCGAGCCCAGCGCCTCATTGCTGCCGTACTCGACCAGTGACAGCTCACCCGCCTGCAACCAGCACCAGCATCATGATACACCGTTCCTTCGCGTGGGGGTCATGTGGGGGGCTGTGGTACCCTGAAGACCATGCAGACATTTGGGTTGTCGAAGTAGAACTTCTCGCCGCCGCTCTCAGGCCACACTATCTCGGACGTCTTGCCCGTCTCCAAATCACCCAACAGCAGAGACGCCACCGTGTTGGCAACCAGGTACCTATACACCAAGGCAGCTCGCTTGTCTGAGTGTTGGGTGGCTGTGCGTATGAGTGCGTGCCGGATCATTCACCTGTTTTGGAAGACATTGAGCTTCTTGATCTCGTATCCCGCAGACGACCTGACCATGGCGCTCCCGCCGGTCTTGCTGTTGCGAACGATCACCTGACCCACACATACACCAACACAATGTTATGGCACCAGAGGTTCGGTCACCTTCCATCCGTCTACCTGGCTGGCTGCGATGTAGGTGAAGTCGAAGATGCCCTTGTACCTCGCCCGCCGGATGCACGCGTCAAACACGTCCACTGACCCACACAACGATCCTACCTACCCAACCAGACAGGACAGGACAACAAGACAGATAAGCCCACTCACCGACCTCTCCTTTCGCTGTCTGACCACAAGACGTGAGCCATCAGGCTTCCAGCAGAGTGCCGTGACGGTGTAGAGGTTGGGTATGATCTTGCTGACCACCTCCTCCCACTCCTGGATGACGTGTGGCTGCCCGCGCGCCAGGGGCCCGCCGCGCCGCTGCGGGGCCGTCCTCTGCTTGTAGGCATACACCATGATGCGGTTGTAGTTGCCCAGCACGACACTCTCGCCGCTCGGGTTGAAGGCCGCACACGTAAACTCCTTGACCGACGTATCGTTGGAGTAGTCAAAATTCCGCACCTGAGCAACAAACACCATGATCGATCACGGAAGCATCAAATGTTCTTCCTGCCCATTGCGCACGCACCTCTCGTCCGTCTGTCGAGTCGTAGAACCTGACGACGCCCGTGTTGCCAGCGGCGACGATGCCCGCCCCCCACTCCAGGGCCGTCACTGGCGTCCCGAAGCTGGCCACCTTCTGATGCGATGCGCCCGACGTGTCCGTCTCAAACGAGAACCGATAGATGGAACCATCCAGGTGGCCCGACAGGATGGAGTGGCCGTCGGGCGACGAACACAGCGACACCACAAAGCTGAGGAACAGAAGACGGCCATTCTAGATGAGAAACAAGTGCCTCCGAGCCTGCCTGCCTTCTTGCTGACCTGTCTGTTTGGAACAACGTGGCGGCCTTGTTGGTCCTGAGCTGGCCGACCTTGACACGCCCCTCGGTGAGGCCAAAGACGACCTCATTGGGGTGTGCCTGGGGCCAGGTGAGGCAAGTGACGCTGGCCGTCTGCTGGAACTTGTTGCAGATGGACTTCTTGTCCTTCCAATCGGACCCCAGCTTGTACACAAACACGATGTTGTCGGACTGGGCTATCGCCAGCTTGGTCGAGTCAGGCGAGAAAGCCATGGCCCGCACCACATAGGTGCGCTGGTTCTTGTCTGCCGGTTTGGTGCTGAAGCGGTCCTGCCGCTCGCCCGACTCATCGAAGAGCTGCACGATCTTGTCTGTGGCCACGATGGCCAGCCGCTGGCTGTTGGGCGACCAGCACGCAGACGTGATCTTCTGCATCCCATCGCCGGCAGGCGACAGGTTCTGGACACACAGCAAAGACAATAAATGAATCACTTGTATGACGGAGAGATGTGATGGGGTAGAATCTTTGCTCACCGTCAGATAACGCAGCTGCATGGCGTGAACGCAGCGCTGAACAGCATGCACTCACTGCGGCCACACGGCGGCCACACGAGCCTAGAGCAGGATCAGAACCATCGACTGCGTATGTGGGTGAGATGACCAGTCAGCATGCCTGTCATCCTTTGTGCTGAAACGGCCATTATTCATTACATAGAACGCAAACCGCAGGATTTGGCTGTAGGGTTTTGGGGGTGTTTGTTTGACGGAACTTCTCAACGGCTGTGGGGTTCTACTCTCTCCCTCTCTCGGTTTTGCGCCAGAGATCCAGCGATGGGTGGTCAGCAACCGACATCAGACCCGTCAGCGGACAAGTACAGCGTGCAGCGGCTTCCCCCAGTCCCCTCACACGTCACAGATGCCTCCTGCGAGTCGTCAGATGACGGCAACGCCACGACCTTCTCGTCCAACATCGGTGCGTCGGTGTCGTGCTCGATGGTGTCCACCCTCCCCAGCGGCAGCAGCTCGATGGTCATGGCTAACGGACAGGCAGGTGTTGGAGGGGAGGGCGACAACAAGAAGGCGGGCATCAAGGACGCCAAGGCCAACTCGGAGAAGCAGACCATCACGCTGCGGACGGAGAGCTTCCTCCAGACGCTCGAGGAGAAGCCAACCCCCACCAAGCCGCACCACTATGTTGCAGAGTGCGCCAAGGAATCGGTGAGCTGGGAGGGAGGGAGGAGGGGGAGGGGGCACAGAGGGGGGAGGGGGAGGATCCGCGTCTGATGGCACTCGCTGTCCGTGTGCGTGTGGTCAGATCAAGGAGGTGACTGTGGAGCGGTTCCTCCCCATCCTGGGTTTCGTGACCAAGTACAAGGCCGGCTTCCTCGGCGATGACATCACGGCAGGTACGTGTCACACATCACATCAACCCACACACATACACGGGAGATGGAAGGGGAGAGAACGCACTGGTTTCGTGTTTGCTTGTTTGCTCTCCCACACCCAGGTATTGCTGAGGGCATCATGGCCATCCCGATGGGCATGTCCTACTCGCTGCTGGCCAACATGCCCCCCGTGTACGGCCTGTACAACCAACTGTTTCTGCCCCTCATCTACATGCTCTTCGGCACCTTCCACCACGCATCCATCGGCACGTCCGCCATCGAATCCATCCTATGCGCTGAGGCCGTCGCACACGTCATCGGGTGAGTCGATGGCGGCACAACCAAGTCCACAACCCACCAACCCACCCGCACATCTGTTTTGTGTCTGTGTGTGCTTGTGTCCCTCCCCATCAGTTGGGACGCCCCGTTGACGGAGCGAATACCAGTGACGATCAGTTTGTCGGTGTGTGTGGGCGCGTCTCACATGGTGCTGCGGCTGATGCGGGTGGGCATGGTGGCCGACTTCCTCGCCGATCCCGTCCTGTCGGGATTCACAACCGGTGAGCCACGCAGAGAAACACAGAGGCAGGTGCTATCGCGACAACCTATCCGTATGGTTGTGTGTGTGTGTGTGTGTGTGTGCAGGTGCTGCATTTCTGATCGGCACGTCTCAGCTGAAGGATCTGTTTGGATTCCCGGTGCCGCGGACGGACTTCGAGGTGGAGCAGTGGTGGCACATCCTCACCAACATACCCCAGACCAACTGGACCGCATTCACCATGTGTAAGCAGCCCGTCTCACTCAACACAGAACAGAGACATAGCAGCGAGACACGACAGACAGTACCCTCTCCCTCCCGCACACGCGCAGATCAGAACACGGCACACGACCCACCAATTCACGAGTTCCCCGGTATGTGTGTGGTTGGCAGGTGTCAGTGGGCTGATCATCCTGTTTCTCGTCAAGTGGATCAACGGCCGCTACTTCAAGAAGTTCCCGCTGCCGGGGCAGCTGATCGTCATGGTCCTCTTCACCTTCCTCACCTGGCTGTTCAAGCTCAACGAGGCCCCCTTCAACCTCAGGATCCTCCACGAGATCCCGCAGGGCTTCCCCGTACCCGACGTGCCGCACTTCAAGGCGCACTTCCTGCAACTGTTTCAGCAGGCCATCCCCCTGGCTGTCATGTTCTACATCATACACATTTCCGTCGCGAAGACTGTCGGCAAGAAACACGGGTACGTGCAGGCAGGGGCAGGGAGGAAGGCAAGGCATTGGCAACCAGTTGGCCTTTTCCCATGCCCATGGTTGTTGGTGTGTGCAGGTACCGCATTGACTCTGAGCAGGAGTTGCTCGCGTACGGCATGACCAACCTGGTGGGCTCCATGTTCCAGTGCTTCCCAGCGGCCAACGCCGTCTCGCGGGTGGGGGTGGTCTCATCTGTCGGCGCCAAGACCATCCTGCACACCCTGCCCAACGTCGCTGTGGTGGCCCTGACCCTCTCGCTCATCACCCCGCTGCTCTACTACCTCCCCTACGCTGCGCTCGCGTCCGTCGTCTTCTTCGGCACATATGGTACTGTGGGTGACACACCGGACGGTCCGACACACGAGCGATCTGCATGTTTGGTCTGTCCACGTCTGTGTCTCCCTCCATCAGGCATGATCAACTTCCAGGAGGGCCGTCGTCTGTGGAAGTTCAAGAACCCCGACTTCTACCTCTGGGCGGCGTGCTTCCTCGTCACCGCCACCCTTGGGGCCATGGAGGGCATCATCGTCGCGGTCGTCCTCTCGCTCCTCTGGCTCCTCAAGAAAAGCGCCCGGCCAAACGCCACCATCCTGGGCCGCCTCCCCGGCACATCCAGCTACCAGGAGGTATGGATGGCCCAATACACATACCATCACAACAATGGCAGGCAGCGAGGGCCATGTGTGCCGTTTTGCTTTCGTCAGATTGAGCGTTTCCCCACTGCGCGCGAGATCCCCGGCGTCAAGATCTTCCGCTTCGACGCCGACCTTAACTTTTCTAACGCGGAATTTTTTGAGAGCAAGCTGCTGACCATGATCAAGCCCACCGGCAGCAAATCGGATCGCAGGCCGCCCAAGGACGAGGAGGAGGGCGGGGACGGGGATGTGGCCACACACACGGTCATTATTGACTGTAGCGGCATCAACTCGCTCGACGCCACGTCCATGGGCATGCTCGAGCGACTGGCCAAGTGGTTCCAGGACCAAAAGATGGACTTGCTCTTCGCCAACTGGAAGGGACCCATGAGAGACTTCCTCGGTACGTGGGCACGCAAAACCATACAGCTTCCATGGTCCCCGATGACGATTGTTCTGCGTGTCGTTGCTCAGATCGTGCTGAGTTCTTCAAGGTTGTGCCGGCCGACCACTGCTTCCTCTCGCTGCACGACGCCGTCATCTACTCGGCCGTGCACCACACACACCACAAGCACGCCAAGATCGAGCTCGACAGCTGCGCAGAGGCCCACCTGCACGTCCTCTCGCCCCCTGTTTCGGCCCGCCGCTCCGGCCGCTCCCCCCAAGTCACTCTCACCCTCCCGGGGGTCGACTGCAAGACCGACACCGCACTCGGCAAGCCCGACAGTGGGGTGGTCATCGAGAGCCCCACAGAGGCCGAGAAGACCACCGAGCCGTCGCTGCAGATCCCGCCAAGGCAGGAGACGCCGGGCTCGCCCCACCCGCTCAATGTCATCGGTCGGCACCTGGGCACGGGTACGGGGCGGCGGCAGCTGGGTGCGTTGGGTGCGCTGCCGTGGGGCGTGCACATGGACGAGGACGAGGAGGCGGGCGTGCTGTGGGACGGGCACGTGGAGTGGGCCCAGAACGTCAGGGAGGTCAACCAGTCGGGAACCGAGAAGACCTGGGGTATTGTCAGCATGACGCACCCGTGACGGGGTCGTACATATGCATGTGCATACAATGGGGGGAGTGGGTGATGCATGTGATGGTGGTTCGTTCGTTCGTTGGTTCATGTGTGTGTTGATTGCATCTCATGGATTGCATGCATGTGGCTGACTATCATGGATAGAGGGCAGGCTCACTTGTCCTTTTTCCGTCCAGTTTTGACGTTCTCATTTGTCTGTATGCATGGTGCAAGTGCCCTCCACTCACTCCTTTCTCGACGTAGCTTGCTTGTGTACGTGTACCACACCGGCCGTCGGGTCGGGTGCTTGATTGGCGCCTCGTGCGCGTGTCGATACTCACCATGGCCGGGCTGGCACTTGGCTCACACACTCACTCTCTCATGCACAACCACGCTCTCTGAGTGTACCGAAGTGTATCGATAGATCGATCTTGTGCAGTAGGTCCGTCTGTAGGGAGGGAGGGGAGATAGAAAGGGGAGAGAGAAGACACGGGGGGGCCGCCTTTCTTCTGTGTTCGCGAGTGCGCGACGTGCATGTCTTTATCGAAGCAGGTCGCTTCTGTGTGGTCGTGGTCGTGGTCGCCCTCCCTCCTTCCTTTCTCTGTGTTGTAGGGTACGTAGCATAGGAAGACACATCGTACGTATAGACGGACAGGCTCACGTGTGATCCCTTTCTCTGCATACACACACACATACACAAACACACACACTCATCTCGTCTCGTATCGTCCACTCTGTCGGTGCGCTAATCGCATGCCGTCAGATGGTTCTGCTCTCGGGTCGACTGACTAGACTGTCTGATTAGTACGGATCTTTCCTAGGTGGTAGGTGGTCGCTGGTCATCCATGTCTAGGCGTGTCGCCCTCATTCGTATATGTGCCACCACCTCCCATCTCCCTTGTCATACTCTCTCTTGTCGTGATGGATGTGCATCGACACCCAATACTGTATTTGGTGGGCAATACATATGTACTCTAAACAAGTACAGCCTTGCAGACGTGCAAGGAGGAAGGCGACACGAACGGGGGGGCGGGTATGTTGCGTGTAGGTGTGGGTGTAGGTGTGGTGTGGTGGGGTGGGGTGGGGTGGTGGTCGATCGTATCGCTTTTTCATCTACATGCCTGGCTGTCCGCTTTTTGCATCGCGATCGATTTTCTTTCCGTTTTTCTTTTCACATCCCTTTTCCTGCAGGCCTGTCTGAATGTCTGGTTGTCTTTCTTTTATGAGTTTTTGCTGCCAAAAGTAGGCGCACTGCAGTAGGCAGCAGCATTGTGTACGGATGGATGTACGTGCCATTGCACTGCACGTGGTGGACGGATGACGTAGCATGGGGGCATGGGTCGGGGGGTGGCGATGGCTGGGTGGGTGGGGCAGCTTCTGGCCGAAACACGCAGAAGAGCTGAGATCACTGTGTCATGCGTGTGTGCGTGTGTGTGTGCGTGTGTGTGTGTCTCTCCAAAGGAAAAGTCTTTCGATGGCCGACCCCACTTTGTGTGGTCCGGTTGGCCGGCTGGTGAGTGTCCGTGGTAGTTGCATGCCGAGTTTTTCGACCCTCTTCTTGAGGGTTCGTGTCGTGTGTGGTGTGTGCGAATGCATGTGCATCATGTCGTGTGGATGGGGGACTACAGGGGACACGCCTTGCCCAACTTCCGAGTTTATTCAATGATTCAACGAGGAGTGGAAACTCTTCTGACGGCACACCACCTCAAACCGGACCAACCAGATGCCAGATAGGAAGCCATACCCATATGATGAAAAGCATTGTGGATGGAGGATGCACATCGGTTTCATGATCCATCACTCATCTGGAGCACGTATCGTCTCAAGTCGGCCGGCTGGCTATATCGGTCGGTGTCAACATACATCCACCCACACGCTCACGTCGTGCCCTGGGTCGTGCTCAGTATTGCATCTTCGAGCCGCCATTGCCTCAGCAGCTGCCGCATTGCAGGAATGGTGACGGGGAAGCGCTCGTCCAGCGTCCACCCAACCTCCACCTCCCTCTCACTTGTCTCAAGCACCACCCTCCGCCGTGCGAGAAAAGACAGAGAAGCCACCGCAGCCCCATCGCCCCCCTCGTTCAGCAGCACCACGACCATCGCCCGTTTGCAGTCGGTCGCACTCGTCTCCAGCCCGTCCTCTCGCCACTCGACGACGATCACATCCTCCTCCGCTGTGCTGGTGTCGGTGAGGGTGTCGTTCCGTTCCAGCTGCGTGTCGACCACCTCTGTCAGCGGCTCCGCCGCCACCTTCATCAGGGCATGCAGGGCGAGTGACGTAAAGGATGGAGCGGTCGCTCTCGCTGAAGGTCTTCAGGTATGGGTGACCCCGAGATAGCTCCTCCTTGAAGGCTGTCCGGAAACGCAGCCCGTTGATGGTGCCACACAGCACTGGGCGGCGTGCGCTGTACCAGTCCTCGCACGCACAAGCCGCAATGCAGAGGCTGAGGCAGAGTGTCCACACCACGAGCACGAAGAGCACCAACTGACAGCGGTCTTCCAGCGTCAGCTGCTGCATCTGTCGGTCAGGGTCGGGGTTCAGGATGACACCAAGCGCTGCAGAACCGAGGATCGCGACGACGTAGGAGAACATGAAGATGAGGGTGGTGCACCCTCGCGCGCAGGCGCTGGGGTGAAGCTCGACCGACTCGCGCTCCCCTGTCTGCAGCGCCATCGTAGTCGTCGTGCCGTTCTCTCTATCCTCACGGCAGAGGAGAGGGCCGATAGCATTGTAGGTGGCCATTGCTGCCGGCAGCTGATTGAAGGTCGCCTTATCCGGCACAAGCGCCAGCACGGACTCGGCCGTCAGCACCAGGGGCAGCTGATCAATCATCTGGGAGCCGCTCGCCAGTCGGATGAGCGCATTCATCCATGGCCCTGCCTGCTCCAGGACGTAGGCGCAGCGAGAGAGGTAGTCGAGGCGGGAGACGGACTCGGGAAGGTCGATAGTGCGGTACCTCTCCACGTCAATGAGGCCGGTGAGCTTCTGCTGGGTGAGACATGAGTCGATGCGCCGCAAGAAGGCGGCCTCGTCCACGAGGTCTGTGCCATAGGCCTTGCTCACCGCCCGGGCCGTCACCAGTTCGTCAACAGGGAGATGCGGAAGGATGAGAGGCAGCACATTCTCCTCATCGACGGCAGCGGCATTGCTGCCCGTGACGACGACTGACAGCTCGGCGGTAGGAGCAGACGCGAGAAGGCCGCTCTCAACATCATCCTTGATTCGGCGATAAGAAGAGCGGCGGCGTCGCGGCCTCCAGAGCCAGCTCATGTCTGGCATCACATCCACCAGGTGAGGACGGTTGGTGACCATAGCGGGGTGGAAGAGCATCTTCAAATCTGAGACGCGCACAAAGCACAGACGGGCCCCCGGTCTTTAGCTCGGGGGGCCCTGCCGTCTCAGCAAGCCGGGGAAGCATGGCGAAGCCAGTCGTCAAAAGCGCCAACATCGACCCGTCTATGCTCGAATTGGCAATCGCCAAGGCACAGCAAGGTAACAAGATTCAACGAAGACGGCCTGTGAATGGCATTGGTTGTGCACGCAGCCCAGGAGGTGTGCGCCACTGAGAAGGATGTGGCGACCTATATCAAGAAGGCATTTGAGGAAAACTATGAGAAGACATGGCACGTCGTTGTTGGGCGCAACTTCTCGACGTATGTGACTCACGAGCAGCAAATGTACGCCTACTTCTATCTCGGACAAATGGTATGCAAGAGACACAAGCCAGATCGATGTTGCGTACTTGTCCATGGATGGATCAGGGCGTGTGCATATGGAAGACGCCCTGATCAAGGGCCGGTGGACCGGCGCATCGCATGCATGAAAGGACGGATGGATGGAATCATGGGTGACGTCAATGATGGCTGGCCATGCTTACAACGTCTTGCCTCCGTGTTCACGACATCCACAACATACAAAGTCACTCACGCACTGATGTAGCTGGTCGTCAGTACAGCTAGCCGCTACGACAACACAACAAAGACACCAACACGAGAGCAGTGTGTTGGGCTGGGTAGGTGGGACAGAGGAGGCGGGGAGGGTGGATGCATGGATGCATCGCGGGGCTATACCAGCCAGGACCACTCGTGGGGGACGCGACCATACTGCACACAGACGTACACAAACACCCATGACTGCCTCCCTGCTCGTTTGCCCCACGCCGCTGCATGTCACCTGGATGTCATTCAGTTCTTTCAGCAGCTTCTTGGCCAGAGGACCGATACCTGCACACAATTAGAGACACACACCCAGACCGATCACGACAATCTCACTTGTGTCTGATATTCTCACCAGCGGATGGGTTGTCAGGGTCCACGGGTATGGGGTAATCGACACCATCGAAGCCAATGCGATCCACAGGCGACACCACGGCCGCCGTACCAGCACCGAACACCTCCAGAATCTGTAACACCCAGAGAACAAGGACGTCTGTGAGTGCGGCGGCATGCCTTTGTTTCCTCTCGCATTCACCCACCCTCTTCTCAGCGACGGCCTTGAGGAAGTCTTTCTTCATGTACACAGGGCGCTCGCTCACTGCGCAGCACACATCATGCCAGGTACATCAGAATTCAGTCAGTCGTGCATGCCTCGCCCGCCCGCGTACCTTTGATGTCGTGCATCTTCTGCGCCAGCTTGATGATCGAATCACGCGTCACGCCTGCACCAAGAGGTGACCACATGTCGGCTCAATGAATCGACACAGATGGGCCATGTAACCTCACCAGGGAGGATCAGGTCGCCTAGGGGCTCGGTGACGAGCTCCTTCTCTCCTGCAACCAACGCACCAACAGCACAGCACACACCGGCAAATTCGGCTTCTCTCTGCTGCCTCTTTGTCTGATGGCATCTTTGTACCCTGCTCGTTTTTCCATAAGATGAAGAGGTTCATGGTGCCGACCTCAGTCAGCCGGTAGTCGTCGCCCTCAGGGAACAGCCACAGCATCTGCGAATAGCCCTTCTTCGCTCCCAGCGTCTGGGGCAGGATCGTCGGGCCGTAGTTGCTGAAATGAAAGGACGCACAAGCCACATGCATCTGTCGATCGATGCGTTTGGGTGTCTTCCCCATTCTTACGCGCCAACTTTGCGGTCGCCGGTTCCGCCAGGCCACGCACGAATGTAATGCGTATCAGCCAAGAGCTGGACGGGCTTGAACCCTACACACATGCCCACACGACACACATGGCCATTATCCATTCTTCTGCCGCGTCACTGACTGACCAGTTGGATAGTAGGGCCCCACGGGACTGAGTATGACGAACAGCTTGGTCTGCGATGGGGGCCCGACGCCCAGCGTAGGCTGCGTGGCGATGGACGTGGGCCGGATGTACATTGAGTAGCCGTCCTTCTGCGGCACCTGGCTGCTGTCCACACTCAGCAGCGCCTTGATGCACTCCACCAACTGAAGCTCGTCAAACGACTGCAGACACACACACATCGACATGAGAGGGGTGTGTGTGTGTGTCTGTGTGTGTTGTTACCGGCAGTCCCAGGCGTTGGCTTGAGAGCAGCAGCCTCCTGGCGTTCATGTCAGGTCGAAACATACGGATGCGCCCACTGTCGTCCTTGTACGCTTTCATCCCATCAAAACACTGAACATCAGACACAAGCCACAAACCACAGACAGACGTCCCGCCTCCCTTGCGCTCAGAATGGCCACTCATCTATCTACCTGCAGAGCGTAGTGCAGCGAGGACGCAGCCGGGTGGATGCTCAAGTTCTGAAACGGCCGTATGACAGGCGCCCTCCAACCCTCGTTGACGTCCCAGTCCACATCCAGCATGTGGTCACTAAACGTCCGCCCGAACACCAGCGTGTCAAGGGGCGGCAGGGGCGTCGGTTCGCCGCCCTTGCGGATGATCTTGAGCTGGGAAGCGTCCAAGCCATGCAGGCCGGACGCAGAAGAAAACTGCCGATGTGGCAGAACGCACGAGGGTAGGAAAGGGCTGCATCTTGGTCGCCGCCGGCATATGGCCGCTCGCCTCATCGTCGCTGCAGCTTGATGATCAACGCGATAATGCCTCCCTCGACAGCATCAGAATGCCGATGAGTAATGGGATGAACGGAGTTGCAGATCGAGCTGGTGCTGCAGAAAACGATGGTTGGCGGGTGACGCAGAGGCTCAACGCAGAAAACGGGAGGTCTCGCGGAGGCGAGCTTAGCTTCAAGGCGAGCTGTAGTTTGAGCTTGCAGATCTCGGAACGCAATTCGTTGCTCAAATGTGCACGGCTGTCTAAGGATCTGCTGATCATGGGACTATTATCATCAATTGCATCTCATCTGTCCATCTCGTCCCTTCTGCTCATGCTGTCATCGCTCGGGTGGAGCTCGGCGTTCGTGCCGTCATACAGGCCTTCGTGGCTGCTCGATAGAAGGCGGTTTGCTCCAATTCCAAGGCGGCACGAGGCAGATGAATCGGTCTCCCAGGTGGGTCAATGCACTGAGCATCTATCTCGTGGCATCTGTGTATGTGTGTTGCGTCTGTCTATGCAGCGTTCAGTCATCCGAGTGGATTCGCGGCTTTTGCAGAGGCTAAGACGCCACGCTGTCAGCAGCGATGACAGGTGCGAGCCAACCAGTTGCACTGGCAGTCCTCTCCTTCACTCCCTGTGTCACTTGTGTGTTCTTCTGTAGTGCTGCTGACGAGAGCAACACCGACGACTGGCGCTCCTTCCGCGCTCGGCTGGTCGCTGGCGGTCTCGAGTTTGGCAACGACACACAAACACAGATGGCAGTTCCACCACCCACTGCCGCAGCCACTGCCCCGCCCCCCTCTCCCTCTCCCTCCCCCGAAACGATCGATGACGAAGAGGCCGCTGCTCGCGAGCTGTTGTCTGCGCTGGAGGAGGGCGAACCCATGGATGGGACGGAGGTCGAGTCACTCGGGCGAACGTGGGAGGGTGCGACGACGCCGATGATGGGCGGTGGGCCAACGTGGGCGCACGAGCTGCCGATGCCTGAGAAGGGGTGCCTGCTGCTGGCCTGGTGAGCGAGCGTGACGTGCTGATGATCCGTTTCCTCTCTCTCTGCGTGTTGGTTTGTTGTCTGTTCAGTCCTGGGAAGTTCCCCTTCCAGCAGTATTTCAACCGTGCGGTGGTGTTCATCACCGACTACGGCGACTCCACCCCTTACACGTGCGGCATCATCCTCAACAGGCCAACCGAGTTCACATTAGGGGAGCTCATGAAGGGCGTCAGGCGGGTGTCATACGACGGAGCGGCCGGCAGTGAAGATGAGGCCGATGAGCAGCAGGGTGTTCCGGGCGGCAGCGGGGAGATGGAAGACCCGCTAGACGACAAGGGGAAGCGGGGGCTGGAGGTCTTCAATGCCAACGTGCGTAGGCAGGGCAGCGGCATGGCACAAAGAAGGCGTCTTCATTTCTGTGCTCACGTGCGCTGCTGCAGACGCTTTACATGGGTGGCGATGTGGGTCGGCGGGGTCTGATGGGTGACGCGCTCATCATGATGCACCCACATGGGTACACGCAACCAACACACACGATGAGTGTCCACGCACACGCACCTGTTCCTTCAGAACCATCCGGGGCGCGCGTAAGGTCATCGATGAAGTGTACGTGGGCGGGGATGTGGAGGAGTGTGTCAAAATGATCCAGGTCAGGCACCACAATGCGCAGAGCCAGACACGTGGGTGCGCAGGGAGGGTGCCGTGTGTGTGCAGACCGGCAAGGCTGAGGCGTCGGACTTCAAGTTCTTCCGCAGATACTGCGCATGGGTACCAAGCCAATCATACACAACGCACCAAACAACAGACCCGTCTGCATGCTGCATGCTGCATGCTGCTGGCTGTTGGCGTGGTGGTGGTTGTGTTGGTTGACGCAGGCCCCGAATCAGCTCGAGAGCGAGGTGCAGCGGGGCGTGTGGTATGTGGCGGCGTGCGACAAGGACACACTTCTCAGCAACTACCCATCGCCGGAGCAACCCACAGCACTCTGGAAAGCGGTGAGCAACAGGAACACACGAGTGGATATGCCGACTCACTTGTCCGTGTGTGTGTGTGTGTGTGGATGACACAGATCCTGAGGCGGATGGGGGAGCGGAATAGCAAGTATCGCCTCATTGCGGGGGATGGGTAACGATCTTATGTCTCTGGCCGCACGGACGGTGCCTCCTGCAGTTTTCCTCCCTGAGTAGTGCGGTTTTTCTGTGGCCGTTGGTCGATCTCTGAGGGGTAGCTGGCTGGACGAGTGTGTACAAGGCAGTATAGAGTGAGAGGTGTGTGCCATTACATGTGTGTAGGCCTATCGCAGCTGCAGAGAGAGAGGTGCACTGCACATGGGTATGTATGTGCATGCTATGACGTATGTACTGATGGCAGTCAACGGACGAATCGGAGACTGACATGGATGCTTGGATTACATGTGTCGCTCCTTATTGAATGAATCGTCAGTCAGTCAGTCAGTGACGTACGTATGTCTGTACACAACACGGAGGCATTCATTGTACACACAGTCAGCCAGCCAGCTATCTTTCGAGGAGCACTCACACGGGCAGGTACGATAGATAGCCCCGCCCCCCTCTCCCTCCCTCCCTCCCTCCCTCCCTCCCTCTATTCCTCCCTCTATTCCTGTTCTCAAACCAACAAGTTGTCCAAATGACACCTGGTCCACACACACACACACGACGCAATGCTGCCACCGTCCTGCCTGCTGTGGCATCAACAGTCTGACCTTGTGTGTGTTCTACGTGTCGATGCGTCGGGCGACGACCATGATATCGTAGCGGGTGGCTTCCCATGTGACGCTGAACCCGTTGGCCTCACCGCTGCCACCGGGGAAGCGGCCATTAAGCGCCTGCAGGGTGACCTCCTGAGAAGTGGTGCACTGGACAACGATGCGCACCTCTCGCGAAACCCGCAGCTGCAGCAGCGACTCCACGGCGCGGATGGCAGAATCTTCGGAAGGAGGACCGAAACCTGCAGAGCAGGACAGATCAATCGGCATCTTTGTTCTGTGCTGTGTGGAGATGGGTGAGTGTTTTCGCCATATTCACTCACCGCCTGTGGTCACTTTCAGCTCCTCTATCTCTGGTAGGTCATCCCTCTGGTCCCCCCACCCCAGCCAGGTCACAGGCGGTACCCCCATGATGACCACCCTGGGCAGCCTCCTCTCGCGGCCCATCGACCGCAAGAACGCCATCGCTCCCCCCGCGCCACTGCCCGTCATTTCCACTAAACGCAAACGCGGCATCTTGGCTGCCAGGGTGCTCGCAGCAGTGTCCCAGCCCCCACGAATGTCCAGATGCGTGACGGCGGGGAACGTATCGGGCGAGACGGCACCCAGGGCGGCGGCAAACCCGCCGCCCCGGACGTCCACTGTGGTGGCCTTGTTGAACATCAGGTCGGCCATGAGCTCCTTCTCGAGCTCAATGCGGTTGTCGGGTTCGCTGGGCTCGATGGGGGCGGGGTCGGTGTCCCAGATGACAGTCTTAGCCCTGCTGGCGAAGTACTTCATCGCGTTGGAAAACAGAGATGGAAGGGGGGCGGAGGGCGGGGGGAGGGGGAAGTCGAGCTTCAATGTCTTGTTCCAGTTGCGGGAGACCAGCACTATCTCGGGTACGCTGGTGAAGGCCGTACGGGTGAGGGTGGCTGGTGCGAGGGACTGCTTGAAGTCGGCGAGGGTCCGCGCGAGGCGCAGCAGCTCGGAGGTCACGAGAATGCCGGTGCCAAACACATCAGGCGCATCAGCCTTGATGTCCCTGATGCGGCGAATCTTGTGACGAGCCAACGCCTCCTGAGGGGCGACAAGACAAGGACAAGACAAATCCAGTGGGGAAGCAGACAGTCCCTCCCTCATATCCTACCTTCAATCTGTCCAGATCCATTTCCAGCTCTCTAAACGGCTGAATCACTCCGATCTTCTGCAGCCCCTCCAGGTTCCCTCGCTGCCCCACTACCGGCGGCGACATACGCCCCGGCACGTCAAGGAGCCCCCTGATAGGCCGCACCTCAAGATGCGTCAGGCTGCTGGATGTGCCGATGAAGTCCCCACACGCGTAGCCCTCCACATGCTCCAGCGACGGCATGGACCACTGCCGCTCGTCTATCAGCGTGCACTGCGGACGCCCGAGGCCTCTGATGGTCTTGAGGCCGGAGAGGATGACGGTCTTCGGGAGGCGGGACATCAGGGATCGGCGCTGCTGCCAGTTGAGGGCACGGAACTCCTCGTCTGACAGATCGACAGGCTCGAATGTGATGGTGTGGAGGGACCCTCCCTGCTGGTCCCCGGCCGGTGGCTGCGCGCCGCCCCCCTTGGCCTTGTCGGGCTTCTCGTTGTTGGCCTCGCGCGCAGTCGCATGCGCCTCGATCAGCGACGCCCAGGCACACTCGCACCACTCGTCACCGGCGCCAAAATGGTATCCACGTGGGTACCGCACCGTCACCTGCTTCAGGTTTCTCGCCATGGCGCCCCACTTCCGCGCCCGTCTGCTGGGCACCCTCTCCCACACACGACGCGTCGCTAGGTCGGAGCAGTCGATGTCAAAGTGGCTGTAGAGGGGCGGCGCGGCGGAGAGGATGCGCTTGTCGGGTGCGATGCGGGTGATGGTCCAGGGGGGTATGCAGCGGTAGATGGACAGCAGGGTCTCACGCGCGATGCGATCCTGAGCCTGACCCACACAACACATGCCATTGGACGAATGGATGGCCATCTCCAGACTCACCGGTCCGTCGTTGTTTGGCTGTCGGCCGCTCCTGCTAACGAGGCGATAGTGATTGCCGTTGATAGGTGGCTCCTGCACACAGACCAAGGGTGGCACACAACACGGGGCAGCATAAAGGCAGCATCATGACCAGATGCGATGAGGAAGTGGTAAGGTATTTTGCTCACCATGCTGGTTACGTTCTACCAGATGAAGAGTCCATCTGCAGAGAGCTCGTCGTGCGGCACCACCTGCACAGGAAACATGAGCTTGTGTGCATAGATTCCATCTCTGGTGATGCATCCGTGTACCTTGACAGGATAAGGCGATGCTGCGGCCACGTTCAGTGGACACACCTTCTTGAATTGTTCAGACGTTCGGCACGAAAGAGGGGTCTGGGAACGGGCTAGAGCAGCGTATCAAAGTCTTGCATTAATTCCTGAGGGAAGGCGTGGACAGGGGTGCCAATGGCCGAGATGGATGATCATCTGCCAGACGCATGAACACACCAGTGACACCATTACAGAGATTGATTCAGAAACAGTTGGTCGGTCGGTCACAGTGTGTCTCTGCTCACTGACGACCAATATAAAATGCAGGCAACGATCGTCATGAAGGTACCGAACACCAATCCACGTGGACGCAACCCACCCAAATGCATGAAATGTATCCACTATAGTGCATGGACCCAACGCATCCCACCATCAGCATCCTCTCTCCTTACTCCTCGCCCAATGGCCATGATGCTCGTGTGGCGTCAGGTTGTTGGCGGCAGAGGGCCCCGCCATTGCCTGCTGGTGGTACTGGTGCTGCTGAAGAGCGTGGCCGTGCTTCGAAGGCTCCTTTGCAGATGCAGTGGCAGCTGGTGGCGGCGAGCCCTTGTGCGCCATCGGCTGGAGGCCCGCGCCCCCGCATGACGGTATCGGCACGGCCATCTGCTGCTGGTGACGCATCTGCGGCGATGCTGACTTGTTGTTGATCTGATGGTGACTTGTGTCGCGGGGGCCGGGTGCCGCACTACCTTCAGCGACGCCATAGTCGTGTGGGATGAGGCTGCCCTTAGACGCGACCAAGGCCGACATTTCAGCTTGCTCCTGCGCGGGGCGGTTGGACGGGCGGAACAGGGGGCTGCCCTGGTGGCCAAACGGCACAGCGACAGAGCCGATCGCCCCGCCGTGTGCCGCAGGATGACACTGATGCTGATGGTGCTGATGGGGGACGGCAGCGTAGGCACCCAAGGGCGTGATGTGCACAGCGGGGGGCGGGAGCAGGTTGGGAAGCATCCGTGGGCTGCCTGCCGCTGCCTGTCGTGCCGGCTGGTCACCCACCCCTCCTGCCATGCCCCAGAAGGGCACTGGCGGCCCACTGTTGGCCTTGGGGTCCTGCCCTGCTGCTTGGAATCCGGCTCGGGCGGGGTTGAAGCGCTGCACAGGCCGGTACTGCTGCATCATGGGCGGCATGGCATAGTGCCCAGTCAGAGGCGGCAATGCACTCGCCAGAGGACGGAACTGCCCGCCCATCGCCCCCATTGCACCCCCGTGGTGCATCGACATCACGCCGTTCAGCTGCCCTGCCTCGTCGCTGCCGCTGAGAGGTGTTGCGGCGTTGGGCATCGAAGGTCGAAGGAGCGGCAGCTTAGGGATGGCTGACGGTGTGGGTAGCGGCGGGTGCGGGGTTGTTTCGGCAGAGGGCTTCGGAGGGCGTGTGGTCGGTGGGTTTGGCGGCGGCCTGACACCGCCAGCGGACCGCAGCATGTCATTCTGCTGACAGTGGTCCGCTAGGGGGTGGGAGTAACCGTACATGCGCCGCGACGCCTTCACCTCGCGCGTCAGGTCTTGTAGCTGCCTCTTCCTGCAGCCTCGTGACCTCCGCCTCAGCCAGCAAGCGGCCCTGCAACACATAGCAAGCAAGCAAGCAAGGGACAGAGATGAGGCGGGTGGGAAATGCTGTCGTACATTCCTGTGGCTGCATACCTGTGTCTTTCCTCCAGCCTCCGCTTAAGTGCGAGTGTCTCCATTGAGTGTCTCCGTACAACCAGAAGGGTCGAAGGGTCGAAAGGCATTCCAAGGAGAGCAATAGCCTGGAAATATAAAATGCAGGCAGCGATAGGTCGACCATCCTGCTCATACAAGAGACACAGGCCCAAACACACAAGTGAGCATCATTACATGTCGCGTCTGCGTGCGTATCTCTTTCTCGGCCAGTCACACCCGCCGCAGCAGCAGCCTGAGCAGATGACGGGACCTGCCGCAAAGCTGTGCTAATGACGTTGGCAACATGAGCGGCATTCGGGACCTCCTCGAACACCAGCAATGCCCCTATGCCCCTGCACCGCGCCACCCGCTCACACAACTACCACCACCATTAGAGATCCATAATGACCTGTCGACTGGCTGCCTACCTATCGCCCGCGCTTGTGCCTTCGTGATTTTGTCCGTTCCCGGGCGCCTCAGGCACTCTTGCAGAACGAAAGCAGCCTGCTCTCTGATAATATCAGATACGGCTTCATCGCATGTTGCTCGACATCCTTTTCAACCACTTGTTTCGAGTCGCCGCAAACGGTCCTGCGCACGAGATGGATACGTACGCAAATCGTCAGCCATTTTGAGCGATGCCATCTCAAAGTCAATCCACTGGCTGCCCTGCCGCGTCACGCTGGGCACGCATCAACCGACGCCACACAGACACAGACAATGATACCCCCCTGTATATTGCTGTTCCTCCCCGATCGCTGGATAGCTCACTCACCGCTTCGCGCGCCGGTCGCCACTATCACCTCAGCATCCATCTCACGCACCAGCTTCTCTATGAGGCAAATAGCCAGCCGTCTCGCACTCCTCAGGAACACCCTCTCCCCCACCCCCAAACGAGGCCTCGTTTGGTGGTATCTTGGGCTTCAGATTGGCTCCTCGGCCGTGTCTGTCCCGGCGCCAGGCGGCTCGTGCAGTCTGCCGCTCTCGTCACGCCAGACGTGTGGGCCGGGGTAGGTCGGCAAAAGGAAGAAGTTGGCAGCGGTGACATCATCAATCGACCACAGAGCTCTTTCGCCCACCAGCAGGCTGGAATTGTCATGACGGAGGCTTTCTCCCTTGACGGCCGATGCTGATGCAGATAACATGACGAGTGCTGGCGAACGGATTCCTGTTGACGAAGAAAGAGCAAAGTATCAGTGCAAACAAGGACTGCTGAGCCAACGAGGGTGTGTTGGTGGATCAGCGGAGCCAGGACACTGGCGCCACGAGCAGGTCCGACTTTGCCGCTGCGTTTCTCTTGCCCTAGAAGAGATAGGCACACACAAACACAGATGAAGAAGGGCATGCGTATTTCTGGCTTCTCTACATGCACACCTACCTTGTGTGTACCGATGCAGAGGAGAGAGGACGCCTGGGGGACCCTCGCAGGCCTCATCATGTCGCTGCGAAGGAGCAGGATGCCCTGACGCCGCCTGACTCTCGCGCCGCCGCCAGGTGGTCCTCCCGCTCGTGGTTGGCCGCACAGACAGCTCGAAGTGCAGATGATGGATGGATGGATGTAGTTGGAGGACTGTTGGAGGTCCGTCGAACCCCTCATGCATCAGGTAGGGCATACCTGGCTGATGTGCGGATGAGAGCATTGCCATCATCCCGAGCCTGCAGTCGCACACAGCAAAGATACCCCCTCGGAACCCACTCGACGTGTGCCTTCTACCTTCTCGATGGTGGATGCGGAGCCACGAGGAAAATAGGCCGACAGATATAAAATGTAGGCAACGATCCTGAGACCTGACAGGGAGCGCCCCAGAGAGCGCCTGCAGGAACGCGAGGGCGCTGTCCGCTCCACGCGTCGCCGTCTCCATGGCCTTTGTCTCCCTCGCCACCTGAGCGACGAAGTGTCTGTCGTAGAGGTCGACAAAAAACGCCCCCGCCTCCTCGTAGATCGCTGTGTTGGCGTCGCTGCCGTCGGGGTGGTCCATATGAGGGGCGATCAGCAGGGCAGCCGACAGTGAGCAGACGGAGTAGGTGTCTGCCTCCGCGCTGAATGGCAGGCGGAGCGTGCTGCTGCTGCGGGTGGCGGTGCGGCTGATGACGGCCTCGGTGGTGTCTGCGACCTTTCTGAGGGCAGCAGGATCGGCGTGCGGGGCCGGCACTGAGGCGATGTCGACTTCACCTGGCGTCGACGGCAGGGAGGGAAGCGGCTGCTCTGTCTCCGACCGACGCGTCGCCATCTCAAAGTTAATCCACTGGCTGCCAAGGCGAGCGGCGTGGCACACGACCATGATATTCTGGGGGTTGGCGTCGCGATGTATCCACCCCGCCCCATGGATGGCAGCCAGCGATGACAGCACAGAGACGACGAGCCGCCGGTACGCGTCGGGAGGCAGCTGCAGACGCTCGATACGATCAGCATATCGCTGCTGGCTACGAGAGTCTCAAGGAGCGAATTGACGTGGCGGCTCAGCACATACTCCGGAAATGCCTTCGGATCCGTCGCTGAACGGTACACAACACACAGATACGAGACCTTTGCCGTCCATCCCATGACCAGCTACCTGTGGCTTTGACGTTGAGCATCACTTCAGCTGCTGCATGGAACAGCTGGTCTGATAGTGTCAGGCCCTCAACCACCGCGCCCACCGAAACACCGAACAGCAGCAACCATCCCACGCCAACGGGGTACGCGGCCTGGATGAGCCGCTCGAGGAATGACGCTGCCGCAGACTGATGCAATGGATTGCTGGTGCTGCAGACGACGAGGTCAACGACGCAGCCGGCGATGCCTCCTTGCTGGCCCTGCTCCTCAGCCCTGGCCGCCAGCAAGGCCACACACCGCTCGATGGCTGAATCTGATCCGCCCTGTTGCCGCTCATCGCGGATGAGGAAACGCCATTGTGATCACCTGCAAGCCACGCCCGGCTCTCTGACTGACCCCTGCTCTATCAGTGGCCGTGCTTGCGTACCTTCCATCGCTTCGCTACTCGCCCGGTGTCGGTAAGGTCTGGCTGATCCGCTGCAGCCGACGTCTGGTGGCGGTGGGCAGGGACAGGGCGTGCAGCATGCCGGCTCGGATGCGGAAGACGTCTCGGAGGGTGACGGCTCCGTCCCACATCTCCGCCGGCGTTGGCTGCCTCTCTATCTGCTGCCTCTCCTGCCCCTCGTCGCCGCTCTCGGGCTCCACCGGCTTCTCTGCACGCAGGGAAGGCAGGAACTTCAGCCAGTCGGGGAGGAAGTCGGCGTACTCCGAGTCGGCCATTAGCTCATCCATGACCCTCTCGTACTCTTCGGCCTCCTGCTGATGCCGCTTGCACCGCTCATCGACCTCGCCATCGTCGGCCGCTGGTGCAGAGGCAGGCGCCTCGTGAGCCGCTGGCAAAGCCGATGCGCCCTCGGGTGGCGGCGACGGCGGTACGGCGGGTGGCTGCTGCTGTTCCAAGGCCACGCGATCGCTCTCACTCAGAAAGCTGAACAGGTGGGGTGGGGGCACAACCAAGGCGGACAGATACACAGACACGTGTGCGTTGCGTCCCTTCCTTGATGCTCTCTCCGTCATATGCAATGCAATGCATACCTAGATATTGCGACATGATCACGTAGCCCTCGGTCACGTAGGGCCTCACACCCTCGTACCCTCTGTCGCGGTAGGCCTGCCAGGCCCCGTCAATGATGGCGACTGACTGCTGTGCATCGCCGTGGACGAGGCCATGGGCAACCAGCTCAGGGGTGACTGAGAGACCGCCCTCTCCCGTCGCTCCCTTAATGGCCTCCGCTTCCGCCCTCAGTCGCCCGCTGAGCCCCGCCCTCGTCGCCTTCTGCAGGTACCTGATGGCGTTGGCCAATACGCCCTGCACACATGCATACCCCCACACAGAGAGATTGACATGGAGGTGATGTGGTTGGTTGCTCACTCACCCCCTCGGACAGGCAGGGCGTACCATGTTTTGGCGGTCCTCGATGGTGTGTGCGGAGACATGGGGAAAACATGCGGAAAACATGCCGACAAATATAAATGTAGGCACCGATCGCGAGAGCTGACACGGACATACAGCATTCGGTTGCCCGTTTGTATCTCCATCTGCGCCGCATGTACCTGTCTCTCGCTGCGGGGTGATGTCGTTGGAGCGAACCATGTTGCTCCCTCGAAGCCAGCAGCTGCTGATGGTAGAGTGGGGCTGCTTGGCTGTTGCTGACCCGCCGTCTGCCATCTCTCAAACAACAAACCACCTGACGATCGAGACCAACACACAGAAAACAGCACAATGATCGGTCAGGTACAGATATCACCCAGGCGTCCCTTCTCCTTCCTCCCCGTTTGTGTGTGTGTCCCCTCACCCACTCTCCTGTTCCAACAGGTTCTACACGCTGGTCATGCACATGGTCATGCGACTCCCCCTCCTGTCCGTCTACAAGGCCCATCTGCTGGCCCTCATCACTATTGTACAGGGACGGATGCGTTCACAACCGACAGTCGAGCCTCTGCTCACTCAGGCAGCCCCCTTCCCTCCGCCATCCAATCCAAGCTAAGCTACGGTAGCTCCATTACATCCTCCACCCACCAATCATCCACTTCTATCCCTGTCTCCATCCGTCCGTCCGCCCCGCCCTCACTCGTCCATCATATCTTCTATCTCCTCCTCGTCGATCAGCCGCACCCACGGCCTCATCAAAGGCATCCCCGCCGCCTCAAGAAGGGACGGGTGCACGAACAGCCACTTCTCGTGGCGCCAGACACCCGCTGCTACCCTCTGCACTCCAGGACCCAACACGATTCCACCTGCAGCGCCTGCTGGGGGCCCATCGGCACTGTCCAGCTGCCTTTCCTGGACCATCTGAGGCCCTCCGTGAGACCTGGCAGGTGAGGTGGGGCTTGGGGGTGCTGCCTGATGATGGTCGGCAGCTTGGGCTGGGGAGGGGCAAGTCGACAGTTGACCGTCGGCTTGGCCTGATGTGCCGCTGCCGCTGGTGGTGGTGGTGGTGGTGGTCTGATGGGCGGCATCTGTGTGGTGGGCGTGTGGCGTGCGGCCTCGGTCTCGTCTCATGTGTTCGTCTGTGTGTCTCTTGGTCGGCCTTCGTCCTCGGCGCCGATGGGCGATGGGGGTGGATGAGAGGCCGCGGCCCTTGCGGATACGTTTGGGCGGCTTGCTGGCGTGGGGCTTGGGCGTGTTGTCGTCTGCCGGTGTCTACTGGCGAGGACGATGGTGACCACTCGGCCGTCACCGCAGCGGGCGATGAATTGGAGGGCTGCCCCTCTCGGTGACGCCAAAATGAGGTGGTACATACACACAAGGGCCTCGGCTGACGCAGCGTGCAACGCCTGGACACACACAGACACAGACAGACAGGCAGACAGACAGAGGCATGTGAGTTCATCTGGCTGTCTGTGTACATCGCATTCGCCTGACTGTCTCTGTGTGTCAATAACCGACTGGCTGGCAGGCTCACCTTGTGTGTGTGTGTCTGTGCCGGCGATGAGATGGAGTGATCCGCACCACACCAGGTAGCGCCTCGGCTGGCGTAGCGTGCGGCGCTCGGTGTAGTGTGGGTCGTTGGCTGACGTATTTCCTCTTCTGCGCCGAACATCTCGTTCTCGACACGTGCAGTGCGGGCGAGACCCACGTCGCGGCCCGACAAGGGAGGATCTCCAGCAGCTGACGCGTCACGGCTGAGGACGACAGGCAAGCAAACAACAAGAGCAAGCGACATCTTTGTCTGTCTCGTCTGCTGTCTATGTGCCTGTCTTACTTGGATGGATGAATGTGAGGCACATCATCCAGAGTTGAGGGCACCATCATTATTGACAGAAGTACAGAGAGAAAGGTTGGTGTCGTGGGAGAGCTGACACGCGGCGAAGCTGCAACATGGCGTTCATTGGAGCTTCCTCAAAGAATCGACGAAGATATAAAATGTAGACAACGAACCTCGAGCGACCTGACCATACCGACACCACACCAAACAATACTCGACAGACGGAGAAGACATCATGTCTCTTGTGCTGTGCCTGCCATCGACCCTCCATGTCCTCGGGGTCCTTCTCGGCCTCGTCTCCTTCAGCTGAGCCAGCTTGCTGAAGCTGTGCTCCTTCAGGAAGTCGTCGACCGGCTGCCACTCCTTGCCTAACACAGAAAAGAGAGACACAGAGAGGTCCATGTGTGCATGAATCGTGTATTGGTCTGCATGCATCGCCCCCTCACCTGCCAACAGCTGTAGAGCAATGACCAGACACTCCTCCTCACCACGTGGCCGTGCTGGTGCTCGATGACGAGCGTGGCGGGGCTGCTGGGGTCGGTATGGCAGTGGGGCTCGTATGTGCCGACGAGGGGCGAGTCCTCGCCGCACTTGCCCGATCTCGGGATCCTTGATCAGCCGCTCCCTCTTGTCCGCGTGGTTGCTGGGCAGGACAAACAGCTTCAGCGCTGACGATCTGGCGCCGCCGGTGGGAGGCAGCTCGGTCTCGTAGACGCGGCCGATGGCCGTGGCGTTGCCGTTGAGACGGCGGCCGAGGGCTATCTGACGGCCGTCGAGTAGGCGGAGAGTGTGGGCGGGGCGTGACGCTGCTGCTGCTGATGACGCAGCATGGCTGTTGGGGGAGGCCATGACGACGGCTGGAAGGCGCCAAAAACTACTTCTGCACTGACGGGTGCCTGTCACAGCTTACTGTGTGTGCCTCTTGATATGCTAGAAGAGGCCAAGGCACCTTTCTGGACGCTGCTGAGGCGCTTGAACTCGCTTCGCACTTGCTGCTGGTTAGTTCGACAAATCCACCTCTCGTGCTGAGCTGCCTTGGCTGTGGGATGCCGCCGCCGCTGCTGCCGTTGCGATTCTCTGTCGTGCGGTGCGCCCGAGCTGGGTCCTGGGAACCCCTTGCTCCACTTAATCTTGCCCTTGGTCTTGGAGATGATGACCCCTTGGCCGTTCTTGGCGGCCAGATTGTTGATGACGTCCACCTCATTCTGGAGGCATCCACACACACACACACACACAGAGGGAGAGACAGAGACAGAGGGGGAGTGTGCAGGCTCGTTGTGTGTGACTTACATCAGCTGTGGTGTGGAATGGATGATGTGTGCTGTGCCTACGGGGGCGAGATTGGGGCCAGGCGAGGGACTGTCGAGCTTGGAGCAGATGGAGGGCAACTTGGGCTGCTCACACAAAAGGGAGGCATTCCGGCTTTCAGATGTGTCAAATGGCGATGGATGCACGATGGACTGACTGACGGTGTGGCGGGCGAGCGGGTGGGTGTCCTTACGTGTAGGAACGACTCGGGCGGCTGGTCCTCGTCGTCCTTGGAGATGTTGCCGAGGCGCAACTTGGTCTGCACCACCTACAAAAACACAGAGGGTACAATCAATACAAACAGACAGACAGATGGTCAGCGTCGCCACACCACACCACACCACACCACAGCACACCACAACCACTGTGTCTTTCCTGTCCTCACTCACCCCGCCCCTGTTGCCCCCATGCTGCTGGCGCGTCGAGTCGGCCTGCTCCTGCTGCTGGCGGTTGGTGCTGCGCTTCTTGCCCTTCTTTCCCTTGGGCTTGACGAGGGCAGCGTAGTCATCCTCCTCCTCACTGCAAACACAAACCATCTGGACGCATGCATTTTGCCCACGAACCATCCCTTTTTGACCCCAACTCACGCTATGGGAGCGAGCTTCGAACAACCCTCCAATTCCATCTCACGGAGCAGACGCATCATCCGGTCATCATCGCCACCACCCTGCACGACAGCAGAACCTCACTGCAAAGAAGACGGGCGAGGCGAGGCGACCTCGTCGGTTACCTGGCCGGGGTGGCCGTCAGAGGATCCTGCCGTGCTGGAGGGGCTGCTGTGCTCATCAGAGGGAGATGCGACACCTTATGCAGAACAAAGGAGAAAGGTTGAGGCGCCGACTTTCTCTGCGCCAGCAAGACACAGAGAACACAAACAGACAGATGATCACCATGGCCACACGTACGCACAGTGTAGCGTGTCTCTCTCGTCCTCACCCAGCCGGTCGTGTTTGCCCCTGATAGCTGTGTTGCCCTTCTTGCCTTTAGCCTTCAGAACGCCTCAAACTCATCCTCCTCACTGCAAACACAGCCTGCCTCGCTAAATCCGCGACCCGTGACAGCGGTGACGCAACATACTCACAACAAGTCTCCGGTACAGGAAGCAGAATAATACTCTGTCCGAGACATCGGAATATAAAATGCAGACAGCGATCTGTCCACAACCTGCATTACAATGGCCACAGGGAAATCCCATGGCGTGGCTGAGTGATTGTTCCTCTGTGTCTCACCAATGTTCCCCAGGCTTGGCTTGGCTATGGCCGCAATGGAGTTGGACGTCATATCTGCACACTGGAACATGAGCTCGGACGCCTGCGGGAACGCAGAGGGCGGCGCGGCATGTAGGGCGGCGGCATGTAGGGCGGCACGTAGGTCTGCGGTATGGTGGTGGTGAGGCCACTTGTGGCCGCTGCTGGGGCAGGGGTGTGCTTCTGTGTGGCCTGCTGCTGCTGGGTGGTCTGCTGCTGGCGGGTGGTGCTGGCGGTGGGACCTTTCGCGGCCGTGGCGGCCTTCGCATCCTTGGCGGCCTTTTCCTTCTGGAATACAGCACACAGAGTGTCACGTATTCCACGTGTGGATGGATGTGCGTCTGACATACCTTCTGCAGCTCCTCTACGTATTTGAGGCCCATTAGGGCAAAGTCCCGCCCCTCCTGAGTGCCGCGCAGCGAGCCCATCCACTCACGGTAAGCCTACAGTAAGAGAACAAACAAACGAATGAACGTTGTCGATGCCCCTGGTGCCACTGCGCAATGGTGCATGCGCCTCTCTGCCCTCCTCACCTCAGGGTGGTTGCGCAGGAGGATGTCGTACTTATTCGCGACGGTCTTGCAGTCGTCACTGTACACATCCGGCAGGTCGATTCCCCTACTCAAGAGTTTTTGCCTCACGACGGCAGCGGCGGCGGTGCGTGCGCTCATCGTCTCTCTCTCTCTCCTTCTCTTCCTCTCCTCGGCGGGACGGCCTCCCGTGACAGAACGCAACATACTTGCACCAACCCTTCGGTACAGGAAGCGGTAGTGAATTTTGGCCGAGACATCCAAATATAAAATGTAAACAGCGATCAGCCAACAGTCTGCCTGCACAAGAGACCAAACAATGTCACGTCTTGTCTGACTGACAGGATTGTTCCTGTGTCTCACCTCTGTCGACGTCGGCGCCCCACCATATGGAGTAAAGCCCCCACACCATCCTCATCCACCAATCTTGCCGGGCCGCACCCACCATGTGTTGCCCTCTCCCCGCTCCCACAGCATCATGCCATTTACGTCGTCCTCTTCCTTGGCCTTCGCCGTCTCCTTGTTGGATTTGTGCTGCACCATACACGCAGCAACATATCACAGAAACGAAGCGTACAGTGTTGCCACATACGAAGTTTCCATTGCAGGTCTCGCATGTGTCACTTACGTCGGCGCACCGCGCTTTCGCCTCCAGCAGGATGTTAGGGCTGCCGTTCGCCTGCACCCACTGGCAGAACTCCTGCACAGCAGAACATCAGACAGAGGACGCCCTGAGCAGAAGAGCCTGAATGAGATTTCGCAGCGTTAATGTCTCACAGAACCGCTTCCTTACCTCGCTTTCCTCGCGCCCGGTGGTCGAGTCGGCGTACAACGATACATGAGTGCCGCCGGTGAGGGGACCAGAGAGTGGCTCAGCCAACTCGACATCGAAGTCCTGCAACGAGCACATAGCACAGAGGCGTGGACTTACTTGGCTGTCGGTTTGTCGGTTTCATTTTGTTTCCCCTCACCGGTTGTCTGTAGTAGAAGATGTGTGTGAGCAGGCCTCGATCGAGATTCTGAATCGTCCCGCCGGAGATCAGACGCAAGAAAAACACCACGTAGGTCTCCGCGGCAGGCACATTCGCCGGCACCACGCACATCAGCTCCGTCTCCGAGATGACTGCCATGCTCCTGCGGGCCTCGTCGGTCCTCCTCGTGCTGATCTGCCTGGTCTGTGGGATGCCGCCGCCGCTGCTGCCGTTGCGGTTCTCTGTCGTTCGATAAGAGAGGGAGCTGGGGGTGGTAAGGGTGGTGAGGGGGAGGCCGAGGGGCTGTTGTGGCGGGAGTGAGGGTGGGGGTGAGGGGGCCACACTATCGGACACAGGGCAAAAATGCAGACAGACAGGCAGACAGATAGGCAGGCAGACAGACGGACGGACGGACGAATGGGTGGCAAACGGACAGGCAGGCAGACGGACAGTCAGACAGACAGACAGCCAGTCATGTCATACAGAACAGACGAGGTTACTTTCCCCAGCCAGCCCCCACAGCCCGAACCAGAACCCGCTCACGCACCGCATCCAGCAGTCTTGGGTGGCCCCCCTCACCCACCACAGCCCCTCCTCCCCGTCCCACTCCCACAGGTGAGACCATTGACGTCGTCATGGTACCACCCCTCCTCGTGGGAGGGGACGGGAGGCGGACCCCTCACCGCCACCGACCCCCAGGCCGTGAACTCCATGGGCAGCACCGCCTTGGGCTGGACCGGGGGCAGGTGGTAGTAGCAGATGGGCGGCGGATAGGCGGCGGGAGTATGAGGGCCAGCAGGGCGGGCCGTGGTGCCGTTGTTGCCTTGCTTGATGGCCCTCGCCTCCGCGGCCCTGGCCGTGCCTTGTCGGGCTTGGCCGTCAGCTCCTGAGCCTTAGCCGTCAGCTCCTTGGCCTCCGCCCTCGCCTCCTTGGCGATTTGCTGTACCAGGCACACAGCAGCAGCAGAGAAACAAAGCGTACAGTGCTGCCACTTATGAGAGTTCCATTGTAGAAGCTCTCGCATGTGTTACTTACGTCCGCGCACCGCGCTTTCGCCTCCAGCAGGATGCCGGGGCCGCCGCTCGCTTGCATCCACAGGTTGAACTCCTGCACCAGAACATCAGACGCATCAGACAGAAAACTCCACTTTGCAGCGCGCCTCCCTACACTTCTGCCTACCTCGGGGTTCTCCTCATCGAGCTTCATGGCCATACTGGTGAACACTCGAGGGTCCTCCCCTTCCCTCACCCGCGGCCAGCGCGAGGGCCACCCCCCGGCAGCAGCAGCGGCACCAACAGCCTCAGGCATCCTATCTCTCTCTCTCTCTCTCTCTCGCTGTCTGTCTGTTTGTCTCTCTATCTGTCTGTTTGTCTTCTTGTCTGTCTGTCTGTTTGTCTTCCTGTCTGTCGTCTCCATACATGGGCAGATCGCCCCTCATGATACTCAACGCCTGCAGCACAGCACAGCACAGCACACACACAGACATTTCGTATGGCTGTTCCATAAGTGTGTCTGTGTACGTATCAGCAGCCTCCGCGCCCTTGTGTTAAAATCGGCCTGATCGAGGTCGCGCTGTCCGGTCCGATACAGGGCGTACGACGCGCTTCTCTCCCAGTCGACCTCCTTCAGGGGTCTGCACAGATACGCAGCAAGAGGTGGATAAGCGGACAAAGTGCGAGGGCTTTCTGTGCTTACGTATTGGTGAGGATCCAGAAGGCAAAGAGCAGCATGAACATGCCGCAGTCACACCCATTGGTCTGCTGCGGCAGCTGATCCTGCATCAAGTACACAGACAAGTGCATGTATGCGGTGCTACGGGTGGGTCGGGGGGCTGGTCCTGTGGATAGATGCCCTCTCATGAAACTGACCTCGTCTTGTCTGCCCCACTCTGCTTTTTGACACTGATCCACACAGGCAGCATGAAACACGCACTGATGATCAGTATGTGTACATGGGCGGCACGCCCCTCATGATACTCAACGCCTGCAGCACAGCACAGCACACACACAGACATCTCGTGTAGCTGTTCCACACATATACACAAGGGCGTCTATGTCCGTACCAGCAGCCTCCGCGCCCTTGTGATGAGGTCGGCCCTGTCGAGGTCGCGCTGTCCGGTCGCATAGATCGCGTATGACCTGCTCCTCTCGCAGTCTATTTCCTTCAGCGGCCTCACATACGCAGCAAGAGGTGGATAAGCGGACAAAGTGCGCATACCTCAGTGTTCGTGAGCCTTCTGTGCTTACGTATTGGTGAGCATGCAGAAGGCAAAGAGCAGCATAAACATGCCGCAGTCGCACATGTTCGTCTGCTGCGGCAGCTGATCCTGCATCAAGTAGATAGATAGACAGGTGTGCGCGGCGTGTGGACGGAGGGGTGAATGGAGGGGTGGCATCTCAAGCACTGAGCTCGTCTTCCTTGCTCCACCGTGCGATGTCCGGCATCTCACGCTTGAGTTTGGCGGCGTGCTCGTCCTTCAGGTACCTGGTGATACAGTGGAAGAACCTTCAGACATGGCACCACACACTCGCACACACACACACACACACACAGAGCCCCGTATCCGTGCGTGTTGGCCATCAGTGCGTGTGTGCATGCTCACGTGGCATTGCTCTCCTTGCTCCAGTTGGTGCCGCCGCCCCCCAGAGAGTCCAGCACACGGATGCGCTTGCGCCTGTCGGTGTGATGGGCACACACACAAACAAATACATGCGTACAGACAGACAGACAGACAGACGGACGGACGGAAGACGTGTGCATGTGTACCTGAAGTCCATCAGGCCGAGACTTTACTCACCTGGCTGCTCCACCGACTCACAGCGCTGTAGTCGTATTGGTACCTGCCCGGCGTCACCCTGACCGCTTTCGGCCAGAAGAATGTGCTCGGCATTCACACCTTCGGCACGCCGCTGGATTCGTACCATGTACATACATACATCCACACACACAGTCGATGGATGGAAGGGCCGGGTGTGTGTTGGCGTGTGGGGCGATGTGTGGATGCACTTACCGCCTCTGCTGCATGGCCCACTGCTCAGCGAGCTTCAGCAGGGCGTTGATACTCTCATCATCCAGCCACTGCAGGTCAGCAAACCGGGTGACAGTGCCGCTGCACGCATCAGAATGCACACATGTGTGGACAGGAATGGAGGTGCCTTGACGGGATACACATGAATCTACTTGGTGATCGGGATGCCTTCGCTCTCCGTCAGCTGCGCGTCACCTGGCCCCTGCTCGGCCCGCTCCGCACCTCCATGTAATGCAGTCACACCCGGTCGTGTTTCGGCAAGAACCATGGCGCCTTGGGCGGCGAGTACGGCAGGGGGCACCGTTGAATCGTCGTTCAAGAGGGATTGCTGCTCGGGATCATGAGCAGCAACCCACCGCACCCACAATGCACCTGGACACACACAGACACAGAGAGAGAGACACGTGACTTCAGCTGGCGCCTGTCTACATTGCCTTCGCCTGTGTGTCTGTGTGCGTCACTGACTCACGGGCTCACCTTGTGTGTGCGCTGTCTGGGCGGCCAAAAAGATGCATTGGCCCACACCATACTAGTCAGCTGTGTCTGCACTCACGTGGCGTCCGTCGATGAGGGTGTCGGTGCATGAAGGTGAGAAATACGATGCCAACAATATATAAAATGTAGGCAACGATTGGGCGAACCCCCAGCCGCCCTGTCCTCGGCCTCGAGCTGCGCGGGCCTTGGCCTTCTCTCCTGGGTGCCGCTGCGGGCGGCGGTCGGCTGCTTCTGCATAAAGGCGGATTGACCAGAGAGCACAGCACAGCACAGCACAGCAGAGAGCCTCAAATGTTGTGTAACTGGATTGATGTGCCCATGATATAGGCACGTACCTTCCTCATGAGGGACACGAGGCCGCGATGCGGAGCCGCTGGGCACATAGGGCAGGTGGACCTGCTGGTGAGGGAACGTGATGAAGCCGCGGCGCTTGCTCCAGGCGAGAAGGCTTCCCTGGTCCAGCCAATGATGAGAGTGGAGGGCCGACGAAGCGGCATGAAACGGGGCGGGCGTGCTCGTGAGGGTGGATGGACAGGGGCGGAGCCAAGCGAGGACACGAGCCCGGCTGCGTCGGGGGCGAGATGGGTGGGCTGCGACGGGGGGGCGGGGCCGAAAAGCAAAAGGGCGAGGGAGGGGGTGAAAAGAAAAGGAAATGCGGTCGACCATCTCGGACGCCGCTAACGGCCCACACCCAAGACGGCCGACCGCCCCTCAAAAGAGGAGGGCTTTGAGGCAGCGGCCGGCATCGTCAGCCGCTGCCTCGAGGAACGCACCGACGAATCGGGCGCCCCTCGCCACCGCCCTCCTCGCCTCGACGCAGCAGCACCCACGTCAGCACCCCTCCTCGGGCACCGTCCACGTGACCACCCAACACGCCCCCCTCCGCTGCCAGTGGGCCAGGTCCCACTGGGTGAGGGCGCTGGCATAATAGCCATCGGCGCCCTCACCCCACTCCCCAGCCCTAACGAGCAGCTTCGTGGTGGTGCCGGCAGGCTGCTGCTGGTGCTGGCTGGGGTGGGCGGTGGAGGTCTTGGCAGCTTCCTTCTGCAGAACGGCGGATTGCCCAGAGAGCACAGCACAGCAGAGAGGATCAGTTGGTCGTGTCTTGTGTGCAGATGGATGTGTGTGCGATGTACGTACGTACCTGCTCGGCGTCGGCATCGTACTTGAGCATCATCAGCTTCATGTCCCGGACCGACTCCAGGAAGGCCTTGCACTCCTGCAGGAAGTACGCAAACAAGAATTGTTGATGGTCTTGCCTGCCAGTGTGCCGGTGTGCCTCCCGTCTCTTGCTCACCGCAGGGTGCTCGCGCTTCATGCGCAGAAACTTCCACACGTGGGCCCCCCTGGAGTCGGCGTAGACATCGGGGACGTCGAGGCGTCTGCTCGTGAGGCTCTGCCTTTTTACGGCAGCGGCAAGCGGCGTGCGGCGGGCTATCTTTTCCTCTCTCTCTCTCTGAGAGCTTGGGATCTATCTGGTGCACACACAGACACGAGACACGCACACGGGTGCCTTCCTTCCTCCCCGACCTACCTCGGCCAAAAGGTCCTCCGCCTTCCTCTGACGCACCATACATACACACACACGAAGGAGGAATCCATTCACTCATTACGGCGGCCAGCCACGTGTATGCCCTCTGCGCTGCCCACCTTGGCGGCTTCGTCTGTCCAGTTCCAGTTGTCAAACTCAGCCTTGAAAAACTCGTAGGCCTCGGACAACTCCTGGGACTGCTCCTTGGAGCCACCAGGCTTGTCTTGGTGAACCTTCTGCACACACATACCAAGCCCCGCATGCCGCACGATAGATACGCAGCACCCTTGTCTCGTGCTAGCGGCGTCCCTTCTTACCAGCGCGAGTCGTTTGTACTGTTTCCTGATCTCATCAACCCACACACACGCCCGCTGCATCGCCCGCTGCAAGATGCTGGGTGCGGAATATGGCCCGCAAGAGCATGGCCAAATCTAGCTCTCTCGACCCCATCTCCAGTGCTAGCTCCTCGAGGAGCGGCAGCTGCGTGAGCAGCCGGCACTCGTTGTTCCTCTGCAGCGATATGTCCACGTTGAGGAGATGCAGGCACTGGAGCCCTTCGCACCACCACAGCACGGGAACGAAGGTGGGGAGTGACAGGCTCTCGCCGGAGACCAGGTTCTTCCGCCAGATGAACGTCTTGAGGCCGAAGGGGGTAGGGGACGGGGTGACGGATGACGACTGGCAAACGTAGGGCATGGAGCAGCGACTGATTTCCAGCTGCTGGAGCGAAGGGGTTCGCGAGGTATTGAAGTAGGTCGTCACCTGTGGCCACATGAAAGGACAAAGGCAATGAGAACACTCCTCCCTCGTTGCCTGAGCGTTTCGCCTCTCTCACCTGGACGAAGTGGCTGATGGTCACCGACTGGAGCTGCCTGCCCACATCGCTGCCAATGATGACCGCCCGAAGCACGGCCGTCGCCACAGCGGGGTACACCCTCTCATCAGGGTCCAGCACAAACGACCCGAAAGTCGACTGCGCCCACGGCGACTCACGGATGACCGTCCAAGGGTCATAACCCTCAACACACGGCCCTTCGCTCCCAGTGGGCCAGGTCCCACTGGGTG